TACACAAGAAATTCGTTTAATTTCTATTTAATTTTATTTTTTTCTGTAAGGTAACAAAAATATATAATCCTCGTTTTCCATGAAGTTTGCTAGTAATTTTAAAGACATGGAGCACTTTACTACAGGGAATTTCGAAGCATGAAATTTTACCACGACAATGGTCAGACAAACGCAAATCATTAGTTCACTCATAGTCGAGCACATACAGAGGCATACGAGCTCAGGTGGCGTTGATCAAGTTAAGTGTATGACTTACTGTACTATGTGTGATCTACGTTGGTGGCTAACGCGTTTCTGATCGATTCAGCCAACATTTCCCTTGAGAGAATCAACTAGACAATCGTTTTTGATTGTAGTAAATTTCATTCGACCAACGTATGTGTTCATACCAATGTAGCTTTCATCTACTCAGCAAAGTGGTCGTGAAGGATTACTCAGTTGGGACTCTTAGCTCGTGATTGATTACAAAATTATCATATTTCTTCACATTCAATGTACAGCAGAGCATCGATCATCCATTCATTTTATTCAATTATTATATTTAAAGCAGCGGTAGTATTTTCGACAGATAAAGTTGTTAGTTTAGTCGCGTTTGTTTTTAAACTCTGGCCAATTGTACAATTTGACATCCGTCAGGTTCTGAAATCGTGAAATATTTATCGTGAAAAACGTTAAACAAATACTTATAACTCACACAAAACCGAATTGTTTTGAGAACTAGTGTTGGAAACAGTTGCTTGATTAATATATAATTTAATCAAAATTTTTTCCTTTTTATTCGGGAAAAAAATAGTTTTTATTTCCATGTTATTTCCATAAAAGCAATAGAGTCCATTTATAACAATAAATAGTGTTAGTAGAAGCAAGAATGAAATTGTTTTTGATGATTATATGCAGAATATGTCAAAATTGAAGAAAAATGACATTTCTGCTTCATTCAATTGATCAATCTGTACGCTGAAATAAAATTCTCAGTACCATATGATTACATCATGTGTGTGCCAATGGTTAAAGACAAACTGTGTGTTGTTATAATTTCTTATCATCGATGTACAACGTCTTTCTTCCTTTTCTATAGTTTTTTTCTTTTACAGCCATGTGTATTGATGCCATTTTTTGCTACATCCGGATATAAATGTGACAAAAAAAAAATGTGTGCCTTGTGAAAAGAATGCAATTTCTTATGTTGAAAAATAAGATAGTCAATCATTATTAGAAAGTAAAAGGTAAAGCATTTTTGTTCTCACTAACTGTTCTGGTATCAACTTAATTCTAGAGTAACTTGATTTTGAACTACAAGAAGTCTTCTTATGTTATTTCTGTTTTTCGTTTCCAATTTGTGTAGTTTGTTAAAATTCAAAAAATTTCTGTTTTTTGTTTTTTGATATTACGAAATGTAATCTGTTTTTGATAGATTTCTCAAAATACATTGCTTATGAGCCGTGTCGTTTTGGGAGATAACTACAGGAGATAAAGTGGAGCTAAAGAGTTAGTAGCAGGTTTGATTATTTATTAGTCTCATAGACAACATGCCTTATAAGTTTGTATAACTGGAATCGTTGAAAGGAACAGGTATCTAGAACAGATATCTAGCACATGTAGAAATGAAACATAATCACTCCATCCATGACTAGTCTCAAAAGTTCCGAGTGCGATCTTTGACTAATCAGAAAAAAAGAAAATAAGCTACATCATTGTTGAATAGTCAATTTTTGTTCGAAAATGACCAGTCATTAATTAGCACACGAGACTAGTCATCTGTACGCATCATGCATATATTGATCTCTAAAAAAAGACATATTTTAGAACCTAAAAGGGTATCTGAAAATGCAACTATAAGAATCCCTTTTTAGATTTTCGACAATACATGTTAAAACAGTTTATGAGTACTCAGAAACATTTTTCGGCACTCCGAAATCTAGAAGGGAGACTTATAGTTGCATTCTCAGAAACCTTCTGGAAAGGCTTACACCCAAGAATGCTTTTAATGTGTAGAGGACATTCTCCTCTGCATCATAGTATGTTTTTTTGCTCGAAAATCCAATATTTTATTCTATCTCCGCGTTTAGTTTCTCCACTGAATCTTCCTCAAAAGTAACTGACCAAGAAATTGAGCGTGGCAAAAACTGTAAAAGGCTTTCTTTAAAATGAAACAATCCTTTCTTCTCTAAGATGAGGAACTGTAATTTGTACAAATGCGATAAAACTTAGGTTTGTGAAGCAAAACATCTTTTTTTTACCAAAATTTATGCAGACGTTTTTAGTGATTAGTGAATCGATGTTCGGATGTGTTTCCGAAAATCGAAAGAATTCCCTAATGTTCTGAAGACTGATTCCGCGGTGAGATTCTTTAGAAAAGTTTTCTTGCAAAAGAAGCTCAGAAAGTCACACCCCTATTTATCTTCTCTGGTTCTAGTTTCGAACAGAGTGACTTTAGATCATTTATAAGAAATATATTGTAAAACAGCATACTCACTTTTAGATCTATCAACAATACTGTAATCAATAGTAAAATAGTTTTTACACTGTAAAAAAAATGTGTTCTTCGTGTTTTCAAAGAACTAGTTGAAGATCTCATTTAAGTTCTTTGAAATATGAAGAACTTAATTTTTGTTTTTCAATAAAGAATGAGTATTTCATTCATTTCAGTTTTTCGACATTTTTGTTCTTCATAAATTTTGTTTTTCAAGATTTCTAAAACACAATGGTTTTGTTGAGTTCTTGGAAGATCTTCAAGGTTAAAAAAGAAAGCAAAATTACATACGTTTATCACCGTTTTTGTTTTGAGAATCCTGATATATATAAGAGGCATGATTTTTCTTACAAAAACTTAAACTTATTCTTAGAAATTTCTCTTTATATATAACAATGTGTACACTTCAAGAACATATTTGTTCTTGACAGCAGTGTTCGTACTCTACGAGTCGAGTACCTACGGCGTTTGGAATCTAATTCAACCAGGCTCGAATCAGATTCCAAACGTCGGTCGAGGTAGGATGTGAGTTACCTAGTCCTCTCCACTCATGCAAGTCTCCAGTTGATAATATTTATACAGTATAGATAATTTGGCATACGATCAAAGGTATTCTATGGATTAAAAAAAAAGTTGTCTAGTGAAAAGAGGGATTCAGATACACGCATGTAGTTCGGCGACCTTCGTTATAAAAATGGAAAAGAAAAAACCTGTATACTACATACATTTTAATCAGATGTAGAGAAAGCTTTTGATAATAAACCCTAAACTCAACTATAAATCATTTCTTAAAATCATGAGATCAGGTGAAGAGGACAGCAAAAAAAACAGCTAGAGTTCTATCAACCGAGTAGTCGCACAATTACGTGCATTACCATAATTATCCTATTTAAAATAATTATGGAATAATTATGATAAGTCGATGCATAATTAGAAATCGATTAGAATTGAATGGTTCTAATGAACTTTGAAAAATTTTTATATTAGTAGATCGTTGATATTCAGATCCATCTGTGTGGATGGATAATACTGCTTTTCTCTAGTCAAAAATGAATATACTACGGCTACAACCCTTCGGAAATTTCAAACGCTTATCATAACCACCATGTCACTCTCTCCGTCCTTCTATATATAAATGACATATATGGTAGCATTACTGTGCATTCTTATAGTAATTATATGTTGTGATAAGATTACATAAACTTTAAGTAAATAGGATATTTTGTGAAAGAAAAAAATCTATAATTGTATACAAGAGAATTGTGTGAATAGTATAATATCAGTGAAGTTATTAGACTCACAACAATCACTCTGTTAACTAAGTGATACTTAGAAAAAGAGTAGTTATACAATTGTAACAGATGTTCTGTGTAATAATTGACTATTCAGACGACAGGTATTGAAAAATAATATCTTCTAGCTATTCTTAGATATACCCCAAATGTCATTTCAACACAAATTCAAATTAATCAACATGTTCTTTAGTCTGTTATTTTAACCTTTTTTTTGTTGCTATCCTTGATTTTATGGAGTAAGACATCCTGTGGTTGCGATGATGCGAACAAATAATAATAGTAATAGATGGTAGCTCAAGTTAAGCACCGATGGCAGATATACAAACAGATATATGTATACGTATATATATGTAGAATGAAGTTATCATAACCGCGAACGAAAAAAAAATGAAGCATCTATCAATATGTTTCTGTGACCTTCTGTATATATAAATGAGGGTTGTTTAATATTGTCACATACTTATTTTTCCTTTCATCGTCTAATATAATGAACTAAGCTCTCGTAAAATTTATAATTTTGATTCAATAATCAATTCTTACTTGTCAAATTCAAAATCTACTCGAGATAATTTGATTTACTTTGACCAAACTACACATATACACACACATTTCAAGGCTATAAAGTTAGTCAAATTGATTTTGTCACAATTTTATAAGAAATTTGTTCACACAATTCACACAAATTTCGTTCTTAAAGTAATAAGATAAAGATTGTTTAGGTACTTTGCAGAGGTTTATTGAAAGATGTACTATGAACAAGACAGAAAAATCAACTTAATCCATGTGCGTTAATTAGTTTATTGCACGATTTTATTTGTTTGGATCCTGTTGCTATAACGTACCACTACTTACCGTCATTTACTCAAATTTTAGAAATACTGACTCCGCTTAGAATAATATGCGGATAGTTTCGGTACGATGCGTAGAAGCCTTTTAGAGTAAAATATGTTCGTATTAAGAATCATTTATTTATTCATTCATTCATTTTAGATTTATTATTATTTATTCATTTATTTATTATAGACATAGTTGAAAATTACTGTAATCGGAATTCAACGTTCAAAATCTATTTTGTCTATGTAACGCAATGTCTCTCGAATTCTATTATGAATCATGGATTTTCGCCTTGTCTTCACCACTTAGTCATTTGTTTGATAATAGAATATGTTTGTTCGTGCAACGAAATTTTAAAGAACGCTTCGAGAGGAAGAATTTCATATCCAATTGATCAAATGACATATGATAATAATATTTTATGTAGTTGGGAAATAACAGCAGCATTGTCAACAAATAGAACATTAATATTGACATTTTTACATTTTGATACTGAATACTTCTACGATGAACTTTTAATCGGTGAAACGGTATCGGGTTTATCGCGTTATAATTCAAAATTGGCACGTTTTAGTGGATCAAAATTACCTGAACCATTTTATATTTCATATAAAAGACCCATATGGATTGAGTTTTCAACAGATGATACAATAGTTGGAACGGGATTCATTTTAGAATATGCGTTTACCAACAAAAGTAAGTGGAAAACTTTTTCTCTATTTCTAAATTCGAATTTCTTAACAGAAATTTTAACAGTTCAACTAAAATAGTAGAAAACTATAAGATCCTTGACACACTTGTATGATATACAATTTGTATTCCATCTCTTTTTTACCTATTGTTAGAATAAATAAATCTTCTATATTACTATTTACAACCCAATATTTTATCATTATTACTAAGTCGACTTGTTGTTACGACGAAGGACATTATAAATACGCATACTATAGCAGATATAACTTAATGTGTGAAAGAAATTTGTATAAACGGGAAACACTTCTCTGACATAATAGAAAGAGAAATGATTGAAATGAACAATTATTACACATAGTTAACCTTCAATTTTGAAAAGTTTGATATTTAATAAGGTGAAATCTAATGTTTCTACACTCATAAATTGTCAAATTGTCATTTGTTTCAAAATTTCTTAACATTGATCAGAATATACAAACATTATGATAAAAAGAAAAAAAGAGTTCAATTTGTTAGGCTTCGGATATTCTATTCGTAACTTCTTTTCAATAATAGCAACTGGTGAAAAACCACCTATTGACAAATTGTTTGCACTGATTGTAACTTTATGCTTTTGTTTGCACAAAAATAAATATTGATTTACTTACAATAAATAAATAACTGCTTTTAAGAATATGAGTGTCTGTTCACTGTTCAAAACTTCTCATGCTTCTCGCTATTTGTGAAGAGCTGATTACGACTAGTACTAAATCATCGAAAAATTACTGAGATCTAAAGACAAATTACTTTTAAAACGACGGATGAATATCTTCATGTTAAGTTAGTTGCTTAGCTACGATTTGATTTGATCAGAACAGCAGGTGTTGTCTAATTTAGATAATATATATCTTGGAAACAGCAGATTTTGCATCTGGAAATATTTGTGTATAAGCTAACGTGAAAAAGCAGCAACACTGTTTTCTTCTATAATCAAATCAACAAGAATGGTTTTATATTATACATATAAATAAGTAAACTAACAATTAATTGTATAAAGAGGTTTTTGTCGACATCTCATTCTAATCTGAATACTATTATTAACAAGAATAGTCTGTCTGTCATGATCAGATAGAAAGAAAAAATGTTAGCCAAAAATAAGAACTTATTTATTAGATATTGTGTGTAATACATATCATTATTAATATAAATAATTTGCTTAGCCTTCAAATGTTGTTTCTATACAACAGATAAGAGCATATGAATGACATATACCACTTTTGAGAAGAAGTTAACTGATACTATTATGAATGTTTCTTAATGAATACCAATTAAAATTGCAATATGTAATTTTAAAAGAAATGACATTTATTTTAGTTAAAGAAAGAATTGAATGATCTTTTGATATTAAGCTTAAATCTATAATTCTTCTGTTTTAAGGATATCTCTCCTCTGTTAAAAAAATAAAATTGATGTTTAGTTGGACATAGTCTAATGTGAAAGGAAGTGTTTGCTATAAAATAAGATCACTCTCAGCATTTCACGACCTTTTTGAAGAAAGCTATACGTTTTTACTGATGAGGAAATCTATCCAAGTGATACCTTCCGATTTCGTTCGTTCATACGTCGATCGATAGAGGGTATCGAGCTGGTAAAAAGCCTGGAAGGATTTTTCGCCATGACTCTTGACGACCCGGTTTTTCGGAAAAGCAGTTTTTCAGAAACTCTAAAAAGTAACCAAAATCTTTCTTAATGAGGCATGGTTGTAGCCCGCACATATTGATTAAAATGAGGTATCTCCTAGCTCTACACGATCTTTCTTTGCAAAGTTATAGAATTTACAAGAAAAGCCCTAAATGTTCACTGTCAGCTTAAAGCCACAGCAATAATAAGAAAAAATGAATTTAGGACTTCTCCTGTAAATTACGACATTGGAAGATATCACTTGGATAGGTTTCCTCGTGAGTTGTGGTGTTTTCTTCTCGAGATATAGGGTTTTCAAAATCAAAGTCCAAAGTTTTCATGGACGGCTTTCACCATTTTTTTGGCATATCTTGAGAAGGAAAAGTGAAAAACGAAAAAAAAAATTTAATGTATATTCTGAGATATCGTCTTAGGTATCTGTGATAAAATTTTGAACGCGATCGGATGAAGTTTCAATGGGAGCATGGTGTACACAGATTCGAATTATCAATGTTTTGAGCATTACATATAACATTAGACAGATGACTATTTTCGGAACATTGTGCACATGGTTGTGTCTCCACCAAAAATCGTTGCAATATTTTGAAAGACGTCGCTCATTATAGAGAGAACACTTTACTCTATCAAATCATACATAAACAATATTCTTGAAGGCATTTAAAGGAAGGAAAACTTTAGGAAACTAAAGAAGTGAAATTTTTCGGTCTCTTGAGTAAAAACTTAAAAAACTCATAACTTTCTTCAAAAAGGTTGTGAGATGTTGAGAGTAGTCTTATTTCCTTTCACATTAGGCTAATGTTCAACTAAATATCGAACACTTTTCCTTATAGATTCGTCCTTATAGATTTTCTTTTCTTTTTTCAAAAAGAGAAGAGAATCTATAAGAACCCTTAAAAACTTAATTTTAAATCAACTTTCTAAAAGCAATTGTGCATAGTTGAATAGCTTGAAGTGGCCTCTCTCAGAATATGTAAGTTTTTGCTGAAAAAGTTACATTTTAATGGGACTTTGAACGGTTTTTTGCAAGAAGCTTCACGGTTAAAATGGAGAAATTCTTCTTTGTTTCACGCTTATGAAAGAAAACCTGAGCGTTATATTTTAGTAACGTTGTCCAGGGCTTCGGGAATCAATTTTCATCCGAGAAAAATGATAATAAAACGTCATTTACTTTTCTTATAGCTATGTCGACACCAAAACCTGTACTACTAATTGATGCCAATATTGAATATAGTGATGATGGAAGTAAAATGCACCTGTTTCCCACTGGAACAATATTGAGTTCGAATTATCCAAAAAATTATTCGAATTATGGTGTAAGATTATTCTTCTGTCTTGTCTGATAAATTTGTTAAATTATCTAATTTTTTTCGTTAAAGACGTGTCGATGGCGTTTACATTTTCCAGACGCGTTGATTCGTATTCGAATTGTTCATTTTGAAACTGAACAATATTATGATAAATTAACATTTATAGTTGGACATAATGTGGACAATGCAGCAATGGTATTAACCGAATTATCGGGCAAATTAGATGAGCTACCAAGGCATATTTTTGTTCCAAGTGATAGTTTATATATGATATTTACAACAGATCGAACGATAAATGCAACAGGGTTCATGTTGGAATATGAGATTATCACTAAAGGTAGTATAATAGTAGTCAATAATATTAAAATATTGTTGTATCTCTTGTTTAGAGATGAATTGTTCTTCTGATGATATTACAAAAAGTCAAGGTCATATTCAATCTGTTAATTATCCACAATCATTACGAACAAATCTCGATTGTACTTGGAATTTATTTTTGCCTTCTTCATATATAGCAATTGAAATTGAATTTCACGATCTACATTTAGCAAATGGAAAAGATTACTTGATTGTACATTCAGGTAAATTATTTTAGTTTTGATGATACTTTTTTGAATTAGCCAATTGTATTTTATTCTAGGTGACAGTTTAACACCCTATACGGGGGAAATGAAGGCATTGAAAATTTTATTTTACAGTTTCAATATCACATTAAATTTAATTACAAGACATTCAACAGATGATTATAGAGGCTTTAATCTTTCATATCGAGGCATTTTAATTAATGGTAAGATTAGAAAATACTTTATTGTTGTTGCTTGTTAGCGTTGATTGTTTGTTATTATGTGTCTATAGTTGACTTTCTTAGAAGAAAACATCCATGAACAAACAAGTACCGCAGAACTTATTGTCAAACATCAACAATTATCATGTGGCAAAAGGTATTCATCATCGATTAATGGTACAATTTTAACATCAGGTTATCCAATCTACGATTATCCGGTGAATATTGATTGTACATGGATCGTCGATGTATTCGATGGACAAAATGTTCTATTACGTTTCGACGATTTTGATATCGATTCAGAAGAAGATATTGTTCAAATAGGACTTTTAAATGATGTAACAAAATACCAATTATTTTCAATAATAGGTAAGAGATTATTTATAAAATAAAATACAAAATTAAAGCATTCATCAATTTCAGATACGCAACCGGATGATGTGTTCATAGCAAACTATAGTCAAGTATGGATACGCTTTCGTAGCAATATTTTTTCACTACCTGGACGAGGTTTTCGTTTATACTTTTCCGAGACCACGTTGTGTAAGTTAACGCATTCTACTAGCCTTTCAGAATATAATGAATTACAATATTTTCAAGTTCCAACCACCACTTTCAGTTAGCGTATCTCTTTCGAGTGAAAAATGGCGAGATTACTAGTTCACAAAGCAGAGATTAATTATTAACTCCAACAGATGGATTCCGAACCATGAGACTTTGCTCTATAACTCTAGACAAGTTCTATGTCCCACTCTATCATCATTCAGACGGTATACAGGACTACTTCAGACATGTTCATTTCATCTCTTTTCGAAGTCTGATAACCTTGGAGATACATTGAAACATAGCATTTCGACGATACTGATTCTCGTGACAATGTTTGTTTTTCAGAACATACAGAAAGAATTATTTGATGACTTTTAACATGCTGAACATGATTTTAGATTTCAAATTGAGAAAAGACTCGATTCTTAAAGACACTTTTCCACAAAATCTTGCGAAAAATCATTGCAGATATTGGAATTTCGAAAAGCTATGTTTCAATGCATTTCCAAGGTTATCAGACTTCGAAAAGAGATGAAATGAACATGTCTGAAGTAGTCCTGTATACCGTCTGAATGATGATAGAGTGGGACATAGGACTTGCCTTGATTTGTAAAGCAAAGTCCCATTGTTCGAATCCATCTATTGGAGTTAATAATTAATCTCTGCTTTGTGAACTAATAATTTCACCTTTTTTCACTCGAAAAAGCTACACTATCTGCAGGTAGTGGTACTTGAATCTCTTTCAGAAATATTGTAGTTCATTATATTTTGAAAATGAAAACTTTTGTTTAAACTCTTTCTCTAATTTAGGGTCAACAGTATTACCATCAGCTGAAACCAAAGAAATTGATGGCGCATCATTACCTCTCCATTTGAACAGTTCGACACGTTCTTTACGTCAAAAACAGCATTCTCTAACTGGTTATTACAATTTGACAAAAGTATATTTTAGATTGAATTAGGTTCAAACATTGTCTTTGATATGTGTGCGTTTAGACTCAACAATGGATTATTCAACCCAGCTCTGAAGAATCAATCGAAATTTTGTTTAATTCAATTTCAACAACGTCAGACCGAACCGTCTGTTTTCTTATAGAGTCGATGGATAGTTATCCAATATCAGTTTGTAATTATCAAACATTTCCCATGGTTATCTATCAAATACGATCATTCACATTGTCAATCAAACCTAGTTTTGTGTATACACTGGTCAATTACGATATTCACATTCAGAAGTTTGAAAAAAGTACGATATTCTTCTCATAATCATAACTTCTTATTGAATCGTTTTTTGTTGTTAAGAAACTATTATCCAATATATTGTTGAAAGTGAAGTTGAACTAACAGTGCCCGATTATCCTCATGTGCATTGTGAATGGCATGTTAACATTGAGAATAGTTCAGTTATCATAATCAATATTAAAAATATTGAAGATTTAGATACGACATTTCTTGTCAAAGGTATGAGTATATGATTAAATTCTTCATTATATTCAACTATGCAATATTGTAGATGAACATGGCTATAAAACTTATTCATTAGCAAATGGTTCTCATTTCTCACACATCTCATTTTCTCATTCCATAATTCTTGTCTATCAATCACACATTTTACCATTAAATCGTAAACGAACGTTTTATGCTAGAATTCATTCAGGTATCTTAATCTTTTAGTTATTTCTAATTGATCAATTCTAATATATTTGTTTCAATTTAGCTACAACAAATTCATGTGGACAATTTCTCAAGCCCAATGATTTTATGTATATTTATTATGAAAACAATGATTTAATATCAGTATGTTCAACGTTTACTTTTCAAAAGATGAAAAATATATCAATTTTAATTTTAATTTAGAAAAATTGTCACTGGTTTATTCAAGGTAGCACGGATTCAACTTTCATTGTTAATGTTTACTCAAATGATACAAGTCAAAATCCACAATTATACACAACTGCTGGTATAAAGTTAATATTAAATCAGAATATCGTCATTCCCTATTCAGACTTCTATATCAAATATATTTCAAATTTAACCATTTATGAACAATTTATTATTATATTATATCATTATGAAAGAAGTTGGTGACTTTTTCCATTAATTTATTGCTGAAGTTGAATAAATATAAGTTTTTAATTATTTTTTTTATTATAGCTGAAATTAATCACGAAATAACAAGAAAAACTCGAAATACTCTACAATCTCATCAACATTCATTCAATTATATAGAAAATTTTGTAATTGAAACAACAAGTTCAATATATCAATCAATTGATTTTGTTTTATATTCAATACATATAGCCAATGATGCATTTATTCTACTACAAACATGTAAGTTTAACTAAAAAAATTTTAGAGGGGCTACACTTTTTTTTAAAGAAGTAATTGAAACATGAGTTCCCGTTTGATGGGAGATAAGAAAGTAAAAATCATTCCTGTTATATGATGTAAATTAAAATGTCGCATTAAAGTCTTCTTCTTCTTCTTCTTCTTCTTGTTCTTAACTCCAATTAGTCAAAAGTTTTTTATTTCAATTTTATAAATCTGGTGCTCTGTTTATTGGTAATAAACGATAGCGTGATTGTTGTCGACGTTGTGTACGTAAAGTTTCAAGTAATTGTCTTTCTAATGTTGATTGTCCTGTATATGCTAATTCTTCAAGAGCATTTGGAATATCCTCGGCAAAATCCGAGTCAGTCATAGCCAATAAATTATTACTCAATGTTGTATTTAAATCTGTCTTATTTAAAATTTTTTGTTGTCGATGATAAAATTTTTTCTTTTTTTCCGATGTTTCTTTTAATGTGAGACGTTGTGTTGCCAATTTACTCATAGAATTTGTAACATTTCCAAATGCATCCGATGCTAAACGACTAGTACCAGCAAGACAATTGTATGACGATAATTGACTTGGTGGTGGTGGATGAAGTTTACGATCAGTTTTTTTTTGATAGGACATTCGATTTTTTAATGCTTGTGCTGATGAACCATTTAGTTTTCGACTACATAATTGTAAATTCGTTGGTGTTTGTGTAACATCAGATGAAACATGATTTTTCTTAGAACGTTGTTGATAGATTGATGCCAATGTTGATTGTAAACGCGCACTAGTAGGAAGAAATGCAGAACTTCTATTCGACAGTATATTGATATTGATATTAGCTAATACCAATGGATTTCGACAAAAATCATAATCACTTGAAGTAATTAGTAATGAATCATCGTTCGTTCCTGTTAATTGTACTTTATCGTTGTTATTATCATCTAATGATTTATTGAAAAATTTTTCAGTTTTTGTTGACGTATTTGGTAAGGTAATTGAATTGTGACGTAAAAATGCACCAGTATTAAAACTCGATTGTGAAGAAAGAGCCTAAAATATTAGATTAATGAACAAATTTAATGAATATTATAGAATTTTAAGTGAAGAATAATTCTAATTTGATATCAGTGTTCACATTCTCTTACTTGTTTATTTTTACCAATCTCACTATTTGTTAGTAGTTGTCCAGTTGTTTGACTGTAAGTTGAATTATTAATCAATGGAAAACTTGACTGAAAATCCATACTTGAACTTTTCATAGCAACAATACTATCATTTTGCGACCATGTCATAGTTTGTTGTTTGAATGTGTCGCGTTTACACGTATATGTTCGTTTTTTGTTAGAATGTATATGCTATAATAACTACCAGTTAAAAAGTTGTTAACAAAAATCTTATATTCTTATGTTATTGTTATAATCAATCATAATGATTTTTTCAAGTAACTTAATTCAAGAAAACATTTAAATCTTGTTTGTTCTCAAAAAATGTTCACACTTCACTATTTTATTTTTCTTATTTATTCTATATGTACTCCTACTTTATAACACACATATATATATATATTATCTTGAACAAATGATGGACTGAAAGAGAGTTTTGTAAAAACAAAGAAAACTAAAATGTTTGTAAACGTCGTGATGCACTTTCGTAGATGCGACTTCAATGGTTTATCAATTTATGGTACGCATTATTGATTATTGGTCGGTCATTTTCGATATTTAGGAAAATGGTTTAAAATTTTCTTTGAGTGCAATTGAGTATGTAGACTGTTATTACTTTATAAAAGTTATTATGTATTTGTATTAGTAATTTTAAAGAAATTTTGCACTATACAATTTAAAATAATATTATAAAGAGCATTCGGTAAACAAAGCTTGCTGTATACTTTATAGAAATTGTTCACTATGCTTTTGTATAGGAACTTTTCAACAATCACATTTTAATTAGAATATTTTCTTAGTATTCAATTATTATAATTTTCATCTATCATGATTTCATTTGAATAAAAAAAATAATCTCTATTCTATAATGAATTTTTTGATGAAGTCAGTTATAATCGTAGTAGTCAAATTTTCAGTATTCAATAGATATTTTTCAGATGTGTCACAATAAATGGCTTCCTCATACGTTTGATCAAGTTTATTTTATATACTTTGCTGATATTTTTGTACTTATAACATATTGAGAGAAAAGTGTCTATAGAAAAAAAAAAACTTTTCTTTTATTCATCTATATCAAGATGATTGTATATATACGAGTATAGACAAACTCCTTATCCCCGATTGTTTGTACTATCGAATGTTTGTTTGATAGAATTTAATGTGCATATACATAGCTGAAACTGTGTGATAATTACAGCCACTTCTCTAGCTTATATTCTGTTGTTCATTTTTTTTTCTCTTTCTCTTTGTACCGTATTCATTTTTAAGAAGAAACATTAATTAGACTTTTTTTTTTTTTCTCTTTGGGTATTGAAAATCGACAGTAGACAATCTCTAGGTATTCTATATTTCTCATTTTAGACAGTATTCAAAATAACAATAATAGTGGTCGATTCTATTACTTATTAAATGCATCAATCAATGTTGGTCTGCATTTTTCGATAAAAAGTAGTCATGTTAAAATTGAATTTCATAGTGGAACATATTTACCTTCTAATCATAATAGTGGTACCAACGGATTCCGTTTAAAATATAGGGCAAGAACACAAGGTAAGTAATCGAATATTGAAACAATCTCCTTTCTCTTCTATATATGCATCGTGCTGTGAAAATTATAGAATAAGATCAATTCTATCATTTAATCCTTCTATCTTGCTTTTATTATCAAAAGATCCGTCCACACAAGAAGACAAATATATATTTGAATGGTCCTCTTTCCGAATATGTTAACAGAATTTTCGGAAGATTCTTTATTTATTTAAATTTGAAAAAAGTTTTTCTCAAAAAATCATTTGTTTTCTGTATAGGCTGATTCACTCTTTTCCTTTTATGGATGAGTAGTATGAATGGATTTAAATAATTTTCAACTGATACATTTTAAATGGCATGACCGAAGAGTTTTGATGATTTTTAGAAAATTGCTTTCTGCAGAACTTGTCGGTATAGCATTTAAAATAGTTTAAAAGCCATTGAACATGAGAAATAATTTTTTTTCTTCTCTTTTTCAGTATTATAAAGCAGTATTTGATCTACAAAACAAGATACAAAACGAATTAGTGAAATTTACACGGTAAAAAGCGGGTTCTGCCTGACTATATTTGATAATCTATTGTTGAGGCTAGAACACTATGTAGTATGTTTTAAACACTATACGGACAAGCGATTTTTTAAAAATCATCAAAACTCTTCGGTCATGCCATTTAAAATGTATCAGTTGAAAATTATTTAAATCCATTCATACTACTCATCCATAAAAGGAAAAGAGTGAATCAGCCTATANTCGGAAAGAGGACCATTCAAATATATATTTGTCTTCTTGTGTGGACGGATCTTTTGATAATAAAAGCAAGATAGAAGGATTAAATGATAGAATTGATCTTATTCTATAATTTTTCACAACACTGTCTAACCATGTCAACTTTATAGATAGATGTTTAAGTGATAAATTTACTGATCCTTGTCAGAACACTTATTTGGCATGGACATTCAATTATTCTTCAGTCAACTGTTTACTAGAAACAGTTTGTGATTTATCAACAAATCAGTTTACAAGTCATCAACAATGTCAAGAAGCTTGTGTAAGTTTCACGATTTGACTCGGTAAAGAAAAAACATGTATCAGCTAACTATATTCTTATTCTCTTTGATCTCATTATCCTTTACATCTTTATATTTTTGAAATGAATACTATAGATGAAAAATGACAACTGATACTCGTTAAAAAGGGGACACCATAGCGTTCCAAATATAATTAAAAAATATTAGAAATATATAGAATGATGACGATTTCTTCATATTTTCAACAGTTTGACAGATATAACTTTATATATGAATATCTCTTTCTATATTGAATTATAAAATTGATCAGTTATTTGTAAACGTTTATTATATCTTAAGTAAAATTTAAATTTAAACAATAATTTACTTTATTATTGAGTTGAAGTTAATTAGATTATTTCGAAAAAACTTTTTCTTGTTCATAGTCACTAATAAAAATAGTTATTTCGAAAAATATTTATTGAATATTAAGTAAAGTAAGTGATATAATATTTTTAGTATGTGTATGATAAACGATATTAGATTATTGTTCTCATATAGTTCTTCAAACGATTAGTGATGTTAAAACATCATCCAATTTGATTAATCTTTCTCGAAATCATTAACGAACATATATATATATATATATAGTTTTGCTATTTTTTCTTTTCTCATTATTAGAACAGGTCACCGTAAAAAAGGTGTTCGTATAGGCATCGATGATAGACGACACTTAATGAGCGAAGGGAGACACATATAAATATTCTAGACTATTGAACTTTTTAGAGTGAAAAAAAAAAAAGAGTAAACTCGGTCAAATGAAGAAAGTAGCAGATTTTTTTTGTCAGAGTATATTGCTAAAATAAAAATCATCTAGTTGTATCAGCTGTACATCTAATTCCATTAGCAGAGAAGAAGAAAAACTAACAACACAATCGTGAACAAAGAAAATTTTATGTATTCACCGTCTGAGTGAGATATAAAAACATACCGATTATTCTTTGATTAGGATTTTGATATGATAATCTTTTAGAGAACAAAAATGTGAATTAAAAACTATATAATTAGAAAGAACTTCATTCGCTCTTATAGTCAAGTATCTCTTTCACTTCGTTAATCTGAAAATTTATGGTTGAGTTCATAGTTTTTTCATTAGTCTTTAATTTTTACAGACGATTTGTATTTAAACATCGTGTATATATATATCATTTTACTTTTTGACCATCGTATCTATCATTACAACGAAATTAATTGATAATTGTTGATTTTTTTAGACTAGTTGGATTAATTCAGTTAATTTAATGATCTCGACTGTGAATAACACATCTATTCCTATTTATCAATGGAATTTTGCCGTTCGTGGCTCAGTGACAATAATCATCGAAGATGTAACCATTCATTCGGTAATACTAAATAGAATAATAAAAATAGTTTATTCTATATTTTTGAATGATATAATTTAGTTTGAACAAACAATTTATAAAGTATTAAAAAAAAGTGTATCCAAAATTGTTCAACGTTATTGTCATGAATATGAATGTTTTACACGTGACTCAGATTCAATCAGGTAGGAAGTTTTTTTAAGTACGAAAATCTTAATGAGATAAATAATTAAAGTAATAGTTAGTTTTTCTAAAGATTTTATAGACAATGTAATTGATAGAGAATCTATTCTATGTTCTAGATCAGAACATATAATTATTCAAGCGTATGAATCACACAATAGTCGTCAATTGTACGTATCAATGTTTATAAAAGATCCCTATCATGATGAAATCGGATTGACAAATGATCAGTTTTTACGTGCATTACGTTATAATCAACGAGAATTATGTCGTGATATCAAACATCAGGTATATTGTTGAATAGCAATAAGAAAAAAACAATCTCAACATGAAAATAGCCATTATTACAGAAATATCGATCAATATGCTGTAATAGGATACTGTTTATATCGTTTAATATTGTTTTATTGTTTAGATAAATCTACCATTAGCATTTTTTGAACAACAATCATCAATTGAACCTTTATGGATTTATGGAGCGTGTCTATTAGCCTTTCTCACAATAGTCATTATTGTGGTTATTTTAGTCATAGTAATTATGAAACGAAGGTATGTTGAACGAAGAGTTTATCTGCAAATTTACAAATTTCAAAATCGAGACACAACCTAATTTCTATTTCTATCTATGCATTCAACGTACATTAGTGACACTTATTACTCAGTCGAAATATAATCTACTGTTTACTATAACTTTCTTACTTCTCATGTATAGGAAAAACACATGCAATACCCAAAATAAATTAGGTAATTGAACGTCTCATCCAATCATTGAATTATTACTTGTTCATGTATACGGTGCATTTTGGCTTAAAAAAAAATTAAAGCATGTTGTAACGATGAATGTTGTTGTAGGTTTTCTCTCTTATCTATATCGCCTGAAAATAAATTTATTTCATTGGTAAATCGAATTTTAAGTTTCTTATATTTTTTTACAAAGTTTAATTGAATAAAAAAAAAAGAAATTACAGGTGAACTTATTTGAATGCTTTCCGTTGAAGCATCAGAATGTTGGTTCTTAGATGAGTCTATAGCTATTAAACTAGTATTATTCCTTACAATTATTGTAATCTTGATGTGTGCTTTATTTTTGCTTTATCCTGCATATTTGTTTCCTTTCCAATAGCTTTTTAGTGTCAGTGATACCAAGTTGTACATATACCACCCTAAATCTCTGTTAATAAAAAACATGTTGAAAATTTCATTTGGTTTAGATTCAGAGCTAACAGTGACTCTTCCGACTACAATCGAGAGCGGAACCACCAACTGAATGAACATGGTGAAAAATGTTTGCATAGGTAAAATCTATAATTCTTCTTCTATCTTTCATTATTATTGTATACTCTATTTTTAAGACTATTATCAACACCCGTACGATATCTCAGTGACGAAATTGTCTCTTCAACAGATATAAATGAAACAGAAAGTTCAAATGCTTCAAATACAATTGATAATACAATAGCTAGAAGGTCATGTATTCAAAGTAGAAATGATACCTCTTATTTTCATACCGCAATTGAAAATGTTATTCGTCAAAGAGATGATGATCCAATACCATTTATTGATGAAACAATATCAACAGGTGCTAGTCGAAAAAGTTCAACATGTTGGAGTGAACGAACAAGTTTAAGTAGTCGATTTGGATTACGATTTAAACGGTTGCATACTCATAATTATCGAATTTCTGGTAATGAATCCATAATACCATTAGAACACAGTAATAGAAACAGTAGTTCGAAAGAAAAATTTTATAGATTAAAAACGAACACAATGATAAATCGACCCATATGGAACAGATATTCAATACCATTAAATATAGAATTGAAAACATCTGACAAATAGGAAAAAACTAATTAATGTTAATTATCATCAATACTTAATTGTCTCATTAATCAACAGTGAACTTTTACTTAAATCTCAAATTATTGATGCATTTTTGTTTTTATCAATTTTTCTTTTTACATGTTCACTTTTATCAGAAATCTGTATAGTATGTGAAATATTTTTTTGTGCTAATGTAGATATTTTTATCCTTTTGTTAAACATTTAATTAGATAAGCAAAATTTAGTTTGATATATTACATTATCTTCATAAAGTATTCTCGTTCAGAATTAGCCTGATTGATCCATTCTTAGTCTTAAAACTTAATTAAAATTATATGGATGATCGATACAACTGCTTCAATGATACTTATTCTATTTTTAACACTATTATATCAGTGTGTGGCATTTTGAATAAACCGTTATTCACACAGTATAACTAATATTATTATAACACATTTAAACGAAAGAAAACAAAAAGACAGATATATCAAAAAAATATAAAAAAATATAAAAAATATCTAAAAAGATGCCTTCATTCAGATAAAAAAGAAACAAAACGTTTCCGCGAATAAACATACACAAACACACACACACATAATAAACAGAATGCTGGATTATACCCATTTTGTGAACGTCAACATTTTTTTTGCCTAATTAAATATTAAAGACAAATAACTATAAAACAATAGATAATAAACTATCAAAATTCTCGTGCAATATCAACTATTCATTCGTCAAGTATAAACTTGTCTAATTCAGCTTGATTATATGGTTGCTCGATTAAATAAAAAGAAATATCTTAATTTGTCTAATCTTCATCGTGTTTGTTGCTCTTCTTTCCCTTTTTCGTGTCTTATGTTTTTCCGATTTGTTCTCGCAAACCAGATTGTTGTCCATCATCTAAAAGGTAAACAAACAGTAGTTCATTAATGAATTAAATCTAACTTTATTCAAATTTACCATGAACATTATGACCCGCCAATTTTTCATCTAATTTCAAGTTTTTTAAATGTGGATGTACATCAAAAAAGTTATCTTTTGGTTCATATCCAATACGATTTTTTGCATCACTAATATCTAAACGGTTAAAAACATTACGCGATAATCCATGAACAATGAGAAATTTCAAATCGTCAGGAGCATCAATACAACATTCTATTAAATGTTCGCAATCACGTTCAGAAATCCAAGCATCCATCATTGATATGGAGTCGACATTCTGTGCACTTTCATGTGGTTGAAATGCACCGATACGAATAGCTATCGATGATAAACCTTCTTTTTCACCCATGTAACGTGCCAGAGCTTCTCCAAAACATTTACTAACACCATAAATATCACCAGGATTAACAGGTTCATTTACCTTTACCTGAATATCTTTTGGATATCCCGAAACAGCATGAATAGAACTTGCATATATCACTCTTTTAACTCCCGCTGCTTTGGCTGCCACAAAGATATTATATGTTCCATTGATATTTGCATCTCTAATGCTCTCCCACGTAGCGGATGGATCAGCTTCTCCAGCCATGTGCTAAAATAATAGAGAAAGAAAAAAATTGATTTAATTTTATTGATATTTTCTATTCTCTTACCACTACAGTATCAATACCTTTACACAATTCTTTTAATCGATCCAAATTATCTAGGGTACCTTCTACAATTTCTCCACAGTTTCGTATTGGATCAACTTTCTTGTCCTCAATTCCTGAATGTACCATCAATCGCAATTTATATTTTGATTTGTCATGATTTAAAGCAAAATATTTTCCAATATTTCCTGCTGATCCTGTGACAAGTACTTTACGTTGCTTTAGTGGTTGTTTGGACATCCTAATTATAATCAATCTAAAAATGACACAATACACAAGTAGGAGCGTAGACAGACAACAATCGTTTTGTTTATTATGAATTTTTTGGTTGCTTGCTTTTATCGGTTCACAGCTAGTTAAGATAAAACATTTCGTAAAGCTTATTATTTTTCACAGTAGAAGTATGCACGAGGAGAGAAAGAGAGAGAAAAAACACCATTTAGCAAACATATAAAAAAACACAAACGCGTCATTTCTTTCTTTTGAAATGCACGAGTGTCGTTTTAGACTAAACAGCAAAGAAAAAAGAAACCTATTTCATAGAGAAAGAAATAATAATAATAATAACAATATTGTGAAATGGAAAATGAAGTTCAATTTTTTTGTTTTTAAACATGTGATGTAAAGACAAACGAAAAAAAAAATTACACCTTTAAAAGAAAAACGAATCATTAATGAATGTAAAATTGTTACACGTGTATTCGTTTGGTCATTGCTTCTCAACAATACACAATGAAAAAAAGAATGAATGTGAGCGGAGTGTATCTGTGCTGACGAAAAAAAAGAAATGTTTTTCCTTTTAAAATAAAAGAAGTCGACTGATCAATATTCTTCTTCGTCACCACCACCTTGTATCACAGCACCTCCAATATCTTGACCATTGCCGTTTTCTTCCGGAGATGCAAAACCTTCCTAAAATGAGATCAACAGGCAAAAAGTATGAGAACAATTCCTCTCATTTCAACTGAATATTCAACGCAAAAAAACACAAAATAGAAAAAGCAAGGAAACACTTAGGGTTCCATTTTCTATCGAACATATTTCTTCATGTTTTCATTATAGAAAAATGAGACAGTTAAACAAATACAGCAAAGTTATTATCAGCATACTTTTACAAAGCACACATACACAACATTGTGCAACCAGAACAACATCGGTAATAGATTTAAACTCGGAAAAATAAGAATGAGCATCTAAGACAGGATAGATACGAGAGAATTGCATAGCAATTGTACCATTGCTGAAAAAATCTTCAAAAAAGAAATGTTTCAATATAAAACGTTTTGGTCCCAGTCCTCTCGGACATATGGATAAACAACATTTTTTCGAACATTTCATAAAGTAGTGGAATTTTACAGTAAAAATTTTCCAAATTTTCTTCCGAAAAAATCTAACTAAATCATATAGAACAATCGTGTCATATGACAACAGGTACTCAACAAAAGAAAACCATTTGGCAGAATTCTCGCGTCCTATGATCAGATTTTCAGTTCTCATCAAATCAAATCTGTCCAGTGAAACGAGTTTTATACTATCTGAATGACAATGGGTATGTGACTCTCTCGTTTAAACTGATTTTATTACAGCATGTTAGGGTGCAAGAAACGAGGTTTTTTTCAAACATTTACAAAGTTATCTAAAAATCAAATATGTGAATATCATAGATACCTCTTATTTAAAATTCCTCATCATCATCTCCACCATCTTCAGGAATTTCAAATCCTTCCTGAAGAAAACAACACTATCAATTCACACATTTTTTTTTCTCTTAAAAGTATTCTCTCTCTACATATGTTTTTTGCACGATTTTAAAGAAATGTCTAATATTGAATACATCAATTAATAAACAACTATTACCTCTGTTGCATATAGAACTTCTAAAACTTTCTGTATTTGAGGTAAATTTTCACAGTCTGGTTCTTGACATATTAATTCCACATCACGTAATTTTTGATAATAGAAATCACGTTCTTTTTCTAAACCTTCAATTTGTTGTCGAAATTGCTCTGTTTGTTGATGATAAATTTCAAGCTAAAATATAAAAACAAGAAAATGTTTTCGTGCGATAATTTGTTCTTTATTTAAACAGTTTTACCTCTGCTTGTAATCGAGCGGTCTCGCCATTAAGTTGATGATCAACAGGAGCAGCAGCAGGAGCCTGCCGATGTGTCGATGGTGATATTTTTTGTTGTGGTACTTTCACTATAAAATCTTAAGTTATGTAGCAAAGAAATATCCAACAGATTTATAACTTACTTGTATTTGGAACTTGTCGTGGCTGATTTGTTGATGTTAATGGGACTCTTTGAATTGGTGGATTAACAGAACCATGTGATACTGGATTTTGATGTTGTGTTTGTCGAATTGCTGGTTGTGGTAATGCAGCTCTAGGCAAACCAGATGTACCACTTGTATGAGTACCACCCTTCGACACACCAGGACCAAGAGGTTGTCCTTTGAACAAACAAAAAAACAAAAAATAATAAACTAGATAAATTTGACAATAAAAGTACATAACTGTCATATTTACCTTCTCGTGCAGCTACTGGATCATAATCATGCGGTGTATAATTGGCATCAAAAAATTTTTTGAACCATTGAACAAATTCAAAATTATCTTGAAATTTTCCTTTGACTAATTTTTCAACTGGAACAATCTAGATTTAAAATTTACAATACATAAACAACAATAAGAGTAAGAATCAGTTCAGCATGATAATAATAAATGTGGACAAAATAAAACGCATTATTTTTTATCAAATAGAAAAGAACTATATAGCTGTTGGATATCGTTGGCAAAATCATTAGAAAACAGACTGAAGTAAAAGTGTTGAAAAAAATGTTTGCATGTCAGTTTACGGTAATTTATCAATTTACTAAAGTATAAGAAAAATCTGTTAAATCTTAATATAACTGTGAATCACTAGATTCTTCTGTGAGAGCATATTCTAATATAATGCTTGTTAGTTTCTAAACTGCACGATTATCAGTATCTCATCGGATTCTTCTAGTCGAGCAAATAATGAAAAAGTTCCCAATGTAGAAAGCATTCTACACCTTTACCATTCACTAGGAAAATATTAGCTTAAATTTTGCGTCGTTGATTATGATCTAAGTGTAATTAAGTTGAATGTTATTTAATATATGATTACTTGTATATTAATAACTATAATCAGTTTAATTCTATTTTTTACCAGATTTTCATTAAAATTTAATCGTTACCTTATCAATATGAACAGCTCTAAATGAATTTTGAAGTATTTTAAAATTTTGAATATTTTCGTGCTCTAATTTCGCATTAAATTTCACTTTTTTCAATTGCATCGAACCTATAAACAATTATTTAATCGATGAATGAACGAACGGAAGAGTATAGGAGAGTGCAATATAATTATTCTTTCATAGAAAAAGAAAGAAAGAAGTTTGTGAGTTATTTTATAACTTGCCGATATTCATGCTACATATAAGGTATAAGAGAGACGCGCACTGATCCACAGTTATTAGTTATAATCTAATGAGCACAGACGATAATTTCCCATTGATTTCAAGTGAAAAATGGAATGTTTTTTTTATTCTATTTTGTCCACAACAGTTCAAAATATTTTTAAAATACCTTATCAACATTGAGTGATTTAAATCCTTCCTGTAAAACTTTAAAATTTTGTATATATTCATGTTCTAATTTCGTATTCCATTTGACACGTTTAGTACGTATTGAACCTGGAAGTGTGATGATACATGATTAAATAAATAGCAGCAGAAGTGTGACACCATTATTATTTCTACGATCATGCTCAGAAGTAAATGAGGTGATGAATGAGAGAGAGAGAAACGTATACATGCAGCAGAAAACAAATTTAAATATTGAAAATACATACCTGGAAACATCATTTCCATAAATTGACAATATGCCGCACCTTAACAAATAAGATAGATCAAATTTATATTAATTCAATTTTAACTTGTCAGTTGTAAATGCTGCCATAAAATTAATAATTTATTTTTGTTTCTTAAGCTTAAGCTTAGGCAGTTTCTATATGAGTACAGTGAAATATCCAAACGAGTTATTTTGAAAAACTTCCTAATTTTATCCTTTTGTAAATACTTACCGGTACATAAATCTTCGACTTTTATATAATTGGCATCGAGTGCATTATTAATCCATTGTAAAATATCATGACGACTTAAATTATCTGTGGTTACACTTGTATGATACACATTCACAGCAGCCATCTAGAGAAAACAAAATCTTAAAAGCATTTGTACCCAAAGGATCATGAACAAAGTATAGACAATGTAATCGAAGTTCAGTTTATTTTTTATTTAACGCACATTACATTTTATCATGCCATAAAATTTTGAAAATAAATAATAGTGTTAGATTACATAGAGAAGAGAAGATCGCCTTGCGTATTGAAATATCACACCTAAAGAACAAGCAATAAGTTCATGAATCTTTTTTTTTCATTGAACACCTAGATGGAAGGTGTATGCATTGGGTATTTTTTAATACTTCATGTCAAAAGCGACGAATGAATATTCAAGAATATAATATATTGTCTTTCATTAAACAAAAAGGCACGCATAGACATACGCATATAAATAGTCATAAGAAACGGTCATTTGTCATAAAGGAGGGAAGAAATCTATTACAACAACCTGTTTCAAATGATGTAGTGTGGTTTGCCTGCCTACATATATATACACATAGATATATGTCCACATAATAAAGACAAAGAAATTTTTTTTCTTCCTTATTTGTTTTTTTTTCATCTACTCATATACATACAGATCAGCTGTATAGGTCCATCTATGAATATACATATATACATACAGATAAATTGTATCATATGACGGACAGAACATCGCGTTCCATTTGTACATGCAAACAAAAAACTTCAAAAGTATAAAAAGACTCATTTGCATTTTTATCCTATTAACTAGAAAACATTAATCAAACTTCAATAAATTCAAAATTAAGTTTAATTACCACACAAAAATTTGAACAAGTCTCTGAAAATAAATACTCGTTTAGAGGAACCCTTTTAATTGTATGCAGTGAAGACAGTGAGATCGGTAGTGCTTAAGTCTCCTCCAATTTTGGTTCCAGCGTATTAGAAACTTTTTTAAGTTTCACATGTTTGTGAGACACTCTACCACTTATGCTATTCTGGATGTAACCACTTTCACTGGTAAAACAGTTTCGTCTAAACCATTTTGTTCAAACCAAAAGAGTAGATGATGCTTTCTTTATCAAGAAAATCTCAATTACGACTGTTCTGATAAAAAGTGTCGCAAGTTTGTTATAACAACCAGAAATCGTCCAAGCTAATTGAACAGTGGACAGCAGAATTGGTAAAATAGACCAGAATTAATAGTTGAAAGGATAATTCAAAAACAATGTGTTAAATAGAATCACGTAGATGCAACATAAAAACGAAAACGTAAAATGAATCACATACAATATAGAAATGAGTTGATGAAAGAAATAAAGAAAAAGAGAAGTGACTTCAAAAAACAGTAGTTGTTAGATCAACTGACGAATAAAAAATGAGTGACTATCATCCATAAAAAAAACCTGTGATGAATTAGATATGACATATGATGCTAAGTGGCGCCCTCTCATATTTTTATAATTTTTGATCTTTCACACATATAACTCTTTCATAAATTTCCTGTATATTTTGAGTGTCTACGCTATTTTGACTCTATTTTCTCGAACGGTATTACACAAAAAAGCATTTATTAAAGACATTACGCCAACACACCCATGTATCTAAATATAAAGAAAATGAGAAATAAGATAGAAACGAATGTGATTCTGTGTAAGATTATAATATAAATTATACCCTTTGTACGAGACAATATTGTAGTAAGACGCAAGTGTGTTCAGGAGTTTCACGAATTCATCATCAGCTTTTCTTTCCATTGTTATTTCTTGAAAAACTTCGGACGTTTGTATCTATGGAAGAATTCTAGATTCAACCTCAAAGTGGATTCTGTATGCTATTCTTAATCCATTATCTGTACCTTTGTAAAACCAAGTTTGTTGAACAATGCGATACTTGTACTATTTTGGATACCAATTTTAGCTATGAACCGGTTCAAATGCAAATTTTCAATACCTGCAATATATAAAAACAAAGCTAAATTATATTAGAGAGAAATGGCTGAATTTACCATAACGTAACATAGTGCATACAGCTTCTTTTCCGAGTCCTTTTCCCCGTGTCCATTTTTCTGAATAAAAATATGAAAAATCACAAAGTGTACAATATCAGTTTAGTTTTTGTATATAACCGGCAATCATAATTTCAATTTCACCATATTTCACATCGTCAGCATCATTGATAAATATATTTACATCACCGATCATAGATTCTATGGAAAAACTACATTATATTAAGTCGAAAAGCTCTAACATCAAAAGAACATACCAATTTCATTTTTACTTGTTTCATACATATCTTTTGATAGAATAATAAATGTGCACTCTGAAATAAAGTTATTTGATTGGATTTATTAAAAATTAATTGAATTGACCATACTATCGTCATCTTTGAGCCATGTCTGTTGCATTTGGATTTCTTCATCGAATGATAATAGTTCAGATGCTGTAAGCTCACGTATTGTTTCGTCTTTCATCCAGTTGTGGTACCTAAATAGATATCTGACTATGCCTTTTAAAACGAGTTATACAACGTGGATATTTGAATTACTTACTTGTTTACATGATGCTCTTTGTAAGGAACAAGAATGATTTTTTCACCGAGTATCGCAAGATTAGCATTAATTCGCATGCTTCTTGCCTGAAAAAAAATTAGAGATTTCGTACTAAAAGATCGTTATCTGTGAGACTAACAACTCAAGAGAAAAATTGCAGAGAGTTCGAGCATGCAAATTATCAGATTTCAAATATTTTTTGAATCAGAAGGCAAATATCCAAAACAGCTCCTGAAGAAGACACTGTCACTAAGACTACCATAGCAATGGCGTCTTGTGACCAATCATTTGGTTGCATTAATCTCTAGCTACAATCTGAACACGTTAAAAATAATGTTTCACTATCTATTGAGTCGCGCTTTACTACTTTGCTTTCTTTTTACATATTTTAAATGTGATGTTATATGATTAGCCGCTTAGAGTCCCACGGTATAATCTAGTAAAACATGTGTGCAAATATTGATGATAAAAGGCTCGATTTAGAAGTATGCACAGATAATTCTCCGATATATTTGAACGATGATGAATTATATAATATGCACGAATGTACATTGCAAATGTATCGTCAAAATAAAATATGTGCAAAAAATGCATTTAATCTAAAACTGTTAGAATATTTACCGGCCATCTTAGGACGAAAAGGAAAAATTTCTAATGTTGAAAATGATGAAAATATAATAACAACATTTCAATCTGTAGGAGCAACGTTAGACGCCTCAGGTAAGTTTCTGCTCGACGTGAACTCTACAAACGATGTTGTATAGTACAAAAGGTATTGCCTACAAAATATTTTTTCTCTTTATTTTTAGCTAAAATTTATGCTGCTCGAATTGATTCACTATATTATGAAACAATTAAAGCTCAGACATTATTGAAGTCCAATGAATTACAACACCGAGAAGATATTCGAATTGCTGAGACTAATAGAAACACAAATCATAGTAGTGACGATGATGGAGAGGATCAAGATAATATTGATAGTGACTTCACAAGACAAAAAACGAAGAAAAGTCGCATTCTGGCTAGGAAAAAGACAATTATTAATGACAGAAAAAAATTGCTAAGAAAACAAACATCTGTTGACGTGATGCCTGTGATGAATACATTTTTTTTATCAGCAATGAACAATGACAATATATTATTAAGTGAATTGTATGAAAAATTATGTTCATCAAAGAAGAAAATGGTAATCATTACGAACTTTTACGGCAATAACAAGACGTAAATTAAAGATTCTTTTAGGAGACGGTGAGCTCACCATACTGAAAGCGAAGATATTGAACAAGCTAGGAATATCTTTTTCAGGCTTTTCAGACGGCTGGTTCTTTTTTTTGCTGCAGTTTTAAGCAGTCAATGACAGCGTTATCGATTAGGGGGTAATAAGGGGTGGCAAACCACCCCTTCGTTTGGATACACCCAGTCAGTCATAGTCATTCCAGAAAAGCGCAGGAAACTCTGTTTACGAAAAATTTTACGTGTTTAGCGAGTTTCAAATAATAACGCGCAAGAAGCTGCGGGTGTGTAAAAATAAACCGCAGGAACACGCGTGTAAAGTAACGTTTTTGCAATTGCATGTTTATTTATTTGTGTTATTATTGCTTGTCTTTCTCCTGCTGTTAGATATTACAGTGTAGACAACAGTAGGTTGATTATATCTAAATTTTGTTGTTAATTTTTAAATACTGTCAAATTGAGTTATATGATAGATTAATTGTGCTTTTTTAGAGAATATTTTTAATATTGAGATCTATTCTATGAAAAAACTCGAAATAAAAGAAAAAAACGATTGCTACCTATGTGAAGGAAAGTTGTTGCTAAAAATATTATTTAAATGATATTAGAAGAAAAAGCACTAGGGGTCAGTGACATGTAAAATTGCGTGGCAACGTGCGTTTCCTGCGGTTTATTTTTATACACTCGCAGCTTCTTGCGCGTTATTATTTGAAACTCGCTAAACACGTAAAATTTTTCGTAAACAGAGTTTCATGCGCTTTTCTGGAATGACTATGAGTCACTGGGCAGTTTCTGAAAAAATTTTGACTTACTCAGAAACTTTTTAAGAAATTTAAGTTGAGAAACTGCCTCTTATGCATGCACCTGAGTAACCGAATAACTAACATTTTTTTGTGAGTAACTGAGTTACTCGGAAAAAGGTTTTAGTCAAAAAATGCGTTACTCAAAAAAAAAACTTTAGTTACTCAGCAGGCTCTCCATCCCCACCGAAACTACTATTGAAAACACTAGTCAAAAAGAGAAGAAATAACTACTTCTATTTCCCTTCTCCATCAATATGTCTATGTTCTAGAAAACTATCTGTCAGTATTGTTTCCGCCTCTGATAGAAAATTTCATTGTTTAGAAAATCGCCAAAGAATACGTCAGCAGATCAAAGCCTATAACAAGTGCCTGGTGCATGAAGAATAATAATTGTGAACTAGTATCGACTGTTCCAACGTCTGAAACATTGCATATTGAGACAACAATGGCTCAGCTTAACTTTGACATGGCTGTTGATGATCAAACACCGTCAATAGGTAAACTAGGCATAAGTTGCGTGAAAAAATAACTATTGTTCTTAATGTTGCTCTTTTTAGTTCATGGAAAATTGTCGCCTAAATCAGTTAATCAAAAGACAATGATCGCACATGATACTATAATAACACCATTATCTGTTGAGACTTGTGTAGAAGGAAATACACCATTATCGATTCAATCAATTCAAGATACAAGTTTGTCTTACTCATCTCCCACTTTTTTCAACACACCTCCGATCTCTATACCCTCTACTGTCTCTCACGAACGTTTTCGTAGCGCAAGTATTTGTAGCAACAGTATTATAACCAATGTTAATCAGCTATTGTCAGATAAACTAGATGAATATTCTTATTTTGATAAAACACGTTTGGACGAATTTACATCAAAATCAATATTGGGCATATCAGATCGAACAGTAACAGTCGATAATAATGAAGACAGTAATCATCACGCTGGCGGATCCCAGACAGCGAAAGGACACATGCTAAAACGTAAATTAAGCATTGAATTTCCATTTTTAAATCAAAAAAAGAAAATGCTTAGAAAAACAATAGAAAAACAAGACCAGCCATCCTTATCAAACAGCCAATTATCGGTTGAATCGGGTTTTGTAAGTAGTTCAGATAATGATCAATCAGATAAAAATCTTCTAATATCAACAGTATCATCGTCAGTTATCAATGACATTAATGATATATCCGGACCGCCTATATCATCCATGCTTTTATCACTCAATATCGATAGCATAATGACGCCGACAGATTGTATACAAACACCTCTTCAAAACTCAACATCGCTTACACCCTATACAAGTATTAGTTGTAAACCAACATCTAGCTTTGATATAGATGCTATTTCACCAGAGAAGACTTCCTTACATCATAGACAGTCCACCGCATCCATAACAACAATGATAACACCCATAGCTGGAGAAAAAGTTAATTTTCTTATACCGATGATACCTACACAGAAAAAACAGTCAATTGATGTGAAAAATCTACAAAGAGCAATGCATACACTCATAACAGATAAAATAAATAATCAAGATTCATCAAACAAAGCTCTTGCGTTTTCGGATGTCTATCAAGATCTAATAACAACGCACTCAACTGGCTCCACGTCAACGAGTACAAACGCCTCTTCATCTCCATCTTACAGATCGATTAGTGTCTACTTTAGTGCTTTACTCAACAATGCAGTGTTAAATAAGTTGACTCTAACATCAAATGACCAACGCGACGATATTGAAATTTTACTAGAAAAACGGCACGCTTACACACACACACAAAGATGAATAGAAAGTAAATACAAATACAAACAAACAACTACAAAATATGTACTGCGATACTTTACGATATTTTTCTTCAAGATAAATCGTATGCTATTCATCTCTTTTATTTTTCAACATGTAGCATTTATAAAGAATAAAACTACTTTTGTCAACTTTCTGTACATAAAGCAAAAGAGTTTTTTTACTAGTATAATCTAATTTTATTTTATTTTAGTCTTGCTTGCAGTGAGAGTGCATACAATACATCAACTGCATATTCTCAATAAATAATACACGAATCTCTGTCTTATTTTTTTTCTTGTCGTTCGCGATAGCTAACAATTGTTGTTTTTTCTTTCGTTGATTCATGATTGTTTACATGAACCACCTATTGTTTTTATTGTGATTGTTTTGATCGTTTTCTTCCAATAATCTACGAAAAACTCGTTTTTTTCATCTAATTTTCTTGTTTTTCTTTTAAACTTCTTTCTCTTTTTAAACAATAGTAGTTGTTACGTAAAAATAAATATATTTTTCTTATGCCATAGATGTTTTTTGTCTTTCTCATTGGCATATCACAAATATAGTAGATGTTATGTTTATTTATTTGTGTTATTATTGCTTGTCTTTCTCCTGCTGTTAGATATTACAGTGTAGACAACAGTAGGTTGATTATATCTAAATTTTGTTGTTAATTTTTAAATACTGTCAAATTGAGTTATATGATAGATTAATTGTGCTTTTTTAGAGAATATTTTTAATATTGAGATCTATTCTATGAAAAAACTCGAAATAAAAGAAAAAAACGATTGCTACCTATGTGAAGGAAAGTTGTTGCTAAAAATATTATTTAAATGATATTAGAAGAAAAAGCACTAGGGGTCAGTGACATGTATGACGAAACATGGTGTTTTAGCGGAAATAGTGGAAATATTTTCTTATGCTTATTTCTACATTTAGAACAATTTAAATATGAAAGCACATTAGAGAGCTCTTTTAAACTTTTGTCAAATAGTACATTCAGCAATTTGCATCATTCTGTAAAGTAGGATAGGTCGATCTTAATGTTTTACTTCGTTTGACTCAAAGTTTACTCCAGTGTTGACCATATAAACGACCATTTACATATGTTTAAAAACCGATTTGTTTGAAATATTCATCCAAAATGTTTTGCAGATGTTACACCAACACTTTAAAAGGCTATTCTAGAACATTTGTACGTAAGTCTCATTCTGAAACCAATATTAAATAGCAAGCTTTGAGGCCACTTAGCGTTAAAAATGAACAATAACAACAACAACAATAATAAATAGGATTGCCATCTTTTCTGCGCTTTCCGCTTTTTTTTGTCTTTTCCATTTTTCTTTCTTGATCCAGTGTAACCTTTTTTGATATACTTAATTTTTTATCAGTGCATTTATAAAGTAAATCACCACCCTCTCTGAAGGTATTTGAAAATGAACCTTTAATGCGCCTAATAGTTTTTTTCCTTAAAAAACATGTCGGAAATCCAAAATGACAAAAAGATACTTTTGCGTTTCTGCGCTTTGGGTTAAAAGCCTACCTGCTTTTTCGAACTTCCAAAGATGGCAATTCGGATAATAACATCTGTTTAATGGATTGATACGATGAAAGTTAAATAGAATTACAGCATTACCAGTAAAAAGTTTATAGTGATAAAATGTCGGACCACGATAGAATCCTAGGAAACATAAAATTCTGCAACAATTGCTGTGACTTTTAACTGATAAATCTTATGATAAATTCATTATGTTTCTTTTAACTTAGCTAAATAAGTAATACAACAAAGATGTGGCGTTCCTAGAGGACGCTTTTGCAGTGGTTGAAAGAGAGATCATCTAAAGAGGCACATTACACAACATGAATTGGGTTTCAGAAATAGATCAATCAACTTAAACTGATTAATATTTATATAAAATTTTCACAGATAAGAGACGGATACACTGTTCCGAAATGTTACGATAGATGCGTAACAATATCATGCTAAAAGTGTAACAATGGTACGATAAAAATCGGTTATCATGGTTTACCATAACATTGTCACACTTTTAGCGTGACATTGTTACATATGTAATATGGCACAAAATAAAAGGTGAAATCACTACACTTTTATCATGTCAACAATGTTACACTTTATCCACGACGCTGCCACACTTTTATCTTGGCATGATCTCCAGCATGACATTTCTACACTTTTGGCGTGGTAGTGTCATACTTTTAACTTAACCGTTGGAAAGCTTCTTTATTTTATTATGACTCATCGCTGCTTGTTGCTGGTTAATCTAGTGTTATGTTGTGTTTTTATGTCGACAGACATTATGAGCTTTTGCAGGGAATTTTTATTTTTATTTTCTGGATGGTCATTTTTTTCTGCGAAATGTGAATGCAATGAACTACACGTCGTAGAAAAGTTTTGAAAACATGAGTGTTTTCTAGATATTGAAGATTAATCATTGCTTGCTCGTTTGTTTTAAACTGATTTGGATTCAGTGTCATAAGGTCCAAAAGTGGAAGAAAAAAAGTGTCAAAATCTTAGAAATTTTTGCAAATATGTTTTAGTCCGGCGTCATTTAGTAAAAAGGAAAAAAAAACTTTTCTTTTAATTCATTTTTCTGTTTAATTCAATTCTCGCTTTTCCGCTGTACTGGTCGATAAGAAACTACCATCGTAAGCGGTGTAGTGAACAACATGTTTTATCGCTGTTTACTTAACAAATTTGAGCCGACTTCTATATAGTGCACTTTTATTTTATAAGACTAAGACTAAGAGTGTTTATTCAAAAAAAGTGAGAATCATCAAAGGTCACTGACCTGTAATAAATGACTCAAGCCAAACAATACAAAAAGGGTAATAAAAAAGAACAAAATAAATAAGACAACCACGGTTAGAACCAGGAGTAGTAAAAAAGAACAAATATAAATTGTTAACTGACAAATGTTTCACTGAAGGAGATACTGATATAAAGCTGTTTTGAAAGATGTTAAAGAAGAAAGACAAATAACTGACTCTGGGAGATTATTCCAGTCAGCAATAGTTAAATAAAAAAAGAAGAATGAACCGTTTGCGGAGAATAACCATCAACAGCAGATGGAATGCGAACATATTTAGAATGATGAAGACGTAAAGATGAGTAGTGAATAGTGTAAAAGAGAGAAACAGGACTTAGACGATGATAAATTTTGAAAAACTGTAAAAGTCTAAAGTATTTACGACGAAGAGTGACATTTGGAAGAGAGAGTTGAGACACAAGTAGAGAACTAGAAGAACGATAGTCAAAATTGCGAGAAATAACACGAGAAGCAAGTTTGTTTACAGAATCAAGAACAATAAGAGAAAACGAACTGTCGTACAAGGTACAGCAATAGTCAATTTTAGGAAGAATAGAAGAAAGATAGATTCGACGCCGAACTTCAGTTGAAGCTAATTCAAAGACACGATTCAACGCTCCAAGCTTGCGCCGACAAGCAAGACCAATATCCTTCGCATGATCATTCCAACTATTTCTTTATTGATATAGTTTCTTTTTAGATTAGCTCTCGTGCCGTTTATCATGCCAGTAACAAAGGTATCTAAAACTTTCTAATCTTTTCTGACTATCAATATCCCATACTTTATTTTTTTACTTTTTAGCCAATTTTATATAATTATTATCGAAGTTCATGTTCATACCGTGTTCGAATTGGTAATTCGATATACATCTTTTTGAACCTAAATCAATAAAATGTCCTCTCTATTTTAGCATTAGCATTAAAAAATATCCCATATGAATGTCGACCAGTAAACTTAGCAAAAGGGGAAAATGTCTGTTCTAAGTGTTTTTTAAAAACATTTTTAAAGATTTTCTTTTCTACTTTTAGGTGTCGGATGAACATAAAAAATTGAATCCAAAAGGTGAAGTACCGGTTCTCTTTATTGATGATAAAATGTTAGTACAATCAGTAAGTGTTCAACTATTGTAGGTTGTATATGTGATATACGCTTTTTTCTTTTATAGTTACCTATTATAGAATATATCGATGAAATATACAATCATGCACCGAAACTTTTGCCCGATGATGCTTATCTTCGTTATAAAACACGAATGGTGTCGGAAATAATTAATTCTGGTATACAACCCATGCAAAATTTGAGCATTTTGAATAGAATTACAGAAGATAAACAGGAATGGGCATCGCATTTTATTGGATTAGGACTTGATGGTAAGAACGAAAGGCCCATCTAAGAGTAACCTGTTCTAGAGCAATCGATCCTTTTAGCTTTAGAAAAAGAATTAAAAGAAACTGCAGGAAAATATTGCATTGGTGATCATGTGACAATGGCGGATTGTTTTCTTATTCCTCAACTTTATAATGCAAGAAGGTAAGAAACAGAGCATCTAAAGAGCAAAGACTTGGCACACTTTCAACGTTTGACTTTTATATTCAGATTCAAAGTTGATATGAAAAAATATCCTGTTATATCAGCTATCGAAAAAGAACTTAATAAACTTGATGCCGTTAAAATATCACATCCTAGTCAACAAACAGATTGTCCTGAGGAAGCGAAAGATATTCTTTGAAATACAGAAAAAATTTCTTTTTCTCTAATCTTTGACTATTGGTTAACTTGATTTTTGACTTACATAAGTGTTGCGTTTTTATTGTTATGTGCTTCATGTAATTCTTTCGATGATAAATGTATTGATTTCAAATTTTTCATTGATTATCTTTTTATATTTTATCAAGGATAAACTTCATCTTTTTATCTTTCATTTGCTACATTTCATACGACTTTTTTCGTCTGAACATCCTTTTTTATATCTTTAAATGCATGTTTGATCATTTATTACAGAGTCATTTTTCTTCAAAGCAATAAAGAATTCAGTAATTATGAAGCCGTTCTTTCTGATAAAAAATGACGGCTTAGCCACATGGACAATCTATTGAGTATAGCATACGTAGTTTTTTGTGATGATGTTTCAGATACAACAAAATGCCTAGCTTAGCGCAAATTAAGAGGCTGTGTAAAACTGAGCCGTCTATAAAAGCAATTATAAATGACTAATCACCAATATATCAGTCTATTTCTGATATTAACTTCACTTGAAAAGAAAGTTTGTTGCAATTTACTATACGCCATTCGTCAAGATCATGGCAGTATTATGTTGAATAATAACTTGACCATTTTCGCTAATAATAGTAAAAGCAGAATACATAATTTATATTCTACATATTGGTTATAATTGTGAATAACTTTTGGTAATGGAAAACTTACACGTTTAGAAAAGAAGATTTCCGTTTAGATACCAACAATTGAATAGTCTTTCTTTATTATTCGATATGAATTAAAAATTTATACATATTGTGTTAACTTGTTTTGTTTAAGCATTGGTTGTGCGAAAAAAAGTCTATTCGATACGTGGATATGTCCGCAACAATGCTGAAATTGAGATAACTAACTTCTTTCTTTTTTTATGGACGAATAAAAGAACTATACCATCATTTGTATGATAAAAGAAAGTTTATAGGAACATAAAAATATCTATTAGTATTAAGATGAGTAAGTATATCAACAAGAAAGAGAACGAGAAAGAGAAATAAACTCAAGTGTTGTTCTATCTAGCAGTTTCATGAGAAATGTACAAGGAATAGTATAATACAAGGACGTATGGGCAGTTCTATACACACGAGTAGAGAAAAAGATCTTGTTTTAATGTATGAAAAAGATAAATGGTACTAAACGTGTTGGTATATACGGATATCAACAACAGAAAAAGACGAAGAAAACAACAAGCGAATACAGAGAGAAAATGCAAGCGAATAACAGGAAAAAGTCTACCTTAACGTAATAGAGTGTATCATGTGCTAATAACACTTTGGAGAAAACACTTTTTCGCAATATAGAAGATCTACTCTATAACATTGAAAAACTTATACTTAACTTTTGTGGAAAAAGTAACATGACCGAAAATCAACATGCAACAAATGGTGTTGCTTCTGATGATCAAATGAATGATGAAAAGTATGAGTGCACTGATACTACCCTCACTACTACAAATATATTTAAAGAAGAATCAGATTTAATTAATCGTATACGAGACATTCTCCATTTGGATGAAGAAATTCAACAATCGAATGATGATCATTTACCACCTAAAAAACATGAACGAAAATTGAGTATTAACGGTATTACATTAACAGCAGCCACACTTGAATTTAAAATTGAACGAGCAAAACAAAAATTTGGTGCCGGAAGTATGGAAGAAGCATTTTATGAATGTTGGAAAATACCACCGGAACAAAGAACATTGGAAATTTGGAAATTAGGCGGTAACAATATATCTAATAAATCGAACAAAATATTCTTAAGACAATCTTTTCTATTTTAGCGGAATGCAGCAAAAAACTTCGTTGTTTTGCTGTAGCTGAAAAATGGTTTTCCGAAGCGATAAATGCTTGCCGTTCTCATAATACTAACTTAAATATCAAACTTGAACAAGCACGTATTGCCCGATTTTATTCTATCTACCTTACACGTTATCCAATGATTGATATACGAGTTGACGAGCGGGGCAAAGGTAAACGATATATTTTCATTTAAAGTTCTTAATGTTTCAAACGAACGATTTTTTAGGTATTTATGCTAAACGAGTTATTTCAACAGGTGAGGATATATTTACCGATATTCCAATTGTTCATTCCCAAACAGTTGATACACTAACAATATCACCAGGTAATTTACTTCTTACTTGAAAAATTGAACTGCTAATTAATATTTTTCTACATTTTTGTAGCTTGTGCCACATGTACAACATCGTTACTAACACCATCACTATATTTTGAAACATCTTGGTTACAAATGTCCGATAAACTACACAAACAAATTGAAGATAATTGGCCAAAAATTACTATTATTCCTTGTACTGGATGTCATTATGAGATTTATTGTTCAGAAGAGTGTCGTTTAAAAGCTTGGAATTCGTGTCATCGTATTCTGTGTCCATCGAACAATTCAGCAGCTGTAGAACTTTATCAATTTTGTGCTAATAGACAGACAATTGTTCGTGAAACATGGAATAGTATATTTTCTCCAATGATTATCGCTAAATTATGGGCAATGATTATAATTGATACTGCTGATCATCTCACAAATGATAACACATTATCTTCATCAATTCCAAATGGTATTGAAACATCGACAGCGATTGAACGAACAAAGGAAAAATTTTCCGAATTTATTTCTACAGGTGACGAGACCTATATTCACACTATTCCTCGTATGTTACGAATAATGCAAAATATATTCGATCATTCATCTTTACCATTTCACTATGAAATTGATGAAAAAGAATTTAGCTATCGTTTTTATCAAATTGCATGTAATGCTCAAAGTTTTTCATCACCTACATATGCCGCTACGATCTATTCCCATTTTCTATTTAATATACGTAATGATCGTAATTTCTGTCATATTTTACAAAAATATTTGCATGGTGAACCAAGAGATCAAGTATTCGGTGGTCTATTTTTATTACAATCGTCTTTAAATCACTCATGTGATAATAGTGTTGAAATAATGGATTGTCAAGTGACACCTGAACAAGCTGGTGTTAAAGTAAGATGTAAACATCAACTGAAACCGGGTGATGAATTAACAATTAATTATGTTGATTTGGCATTAAGCAGACGTGCCAGACGAGCAATGTTAAAGCGTGCCTATAATTTTTGGTGTGAATGTATTCGGTGTCGTTTTGAAGGTGATGATTGTAATTCATGTACAGAATGTCGAAAATATTCGGAAAATGATAGAAAATCATTTCCAGCATGTAGTCGATGTCGAGCAGCATGGTATTGTTCAGCCGATTGTCAAAAACGAGCATGGAAACATGGACATAAAATTATTTGTAGAGATTGGACAAAAGAACGAAGTTCATCGTCAACAAATTAAATTGTTATTGTTGTTTTTTTAAATAAATATACAGGCTATATGAAGGGGATGTCAGTCAAGAAGTTTTCACTAAACAAAAAGGCACCTAACCGCTGTCTATTTTGCTGTCGTCACTTCGAATGCTGATCTTAACCACTTAATTATAAACATTCTTACCTATAGTCTAGTAACATCTTAACGTTCTCTGTTAGCATCCATGAAAATTATTTGTGTATGAGTATTTAATTGTTACATTGTTCTTCATAGCTAAAAAAACCTATCTAAAAAGGAAATGGATAAAATTTTACGTATGTGTTCCAACGATGGGATATTTGTATGGATGAACAGTAAAAACTATTTGCGATATAAAGCTATTCGTGCTTTTTACCCTCTTCTATCGAAAAAAATCATCCATTCTTTATTTTTTCTTTTGTACTTATACTCTTTTTTAAACTGACCTTAAATATTATACACAATATCGACCATTTAGAGAACAGATTGCGTTCTCTCTCACGCCAAATAACTTCTAAGACTTATAATTCCTTTTGAAAACAAGAAAATATGTTTCAGACTATTGTCTATTGTAAACGAATGTAACTAAGCTTCATCAGATTTCTATGATGATAGGTCACATTATACTTCGAATTTAGTTCATCTATAACAGATATGTGTCAGGCCACATGCCAGTACTTGAATGAGTGACTATGTGTGAGCGTTATACTCTAATTTCTCCCACGTTAAACTTTTTCTAAGGCAAAAGTATATAAACAATAATTATCCTTTTATCTAATAAAACAAATTTTTTGTAATCAATTTTAGATAGATATTAACATACGCAAAAATGCCACATACTGCTGCAAAACAGCGTATGAATAGTGACAATTCTGATAAACATGAACGTTCGGGCAGTACTGGTAGGTTTGCTCAACACGTTTAAAGATTTCATACATTTATTCTACACACTATTTATATAGCATCCGAGGACCGTGACACGATGACAACATACTGGAAACGAAATTCCAATCCAAATTTGGAAAACATGATGTTAGATACGAATGCTGAGAAATTAAATCGAATCGAATTTCCAGAAATTTTAGAATGTATACCAGATTTACATGAAAAACGTGTACTTGAATTAGGAGCTGGCATCGGGTGAGAATAATTATAATTAAAGTCATCAATATTATTAAATCATTCTTCTTTTTTTAGTCGTTTTACAAAAACATTTGCTCAACTCTCAAAATCTGTTATTGCTGTAGATTTTATGGAGTCATTTTTGGAAAAAAATCGAGAAGAAAATAGTCATTATGGAAATGTTGAATTTGTACAAATGGATGCAACACAACTCGAATTTGAACCAAATAGGTATAATTTAGTCTATCACCTATTTATGTTGTATAATGCTAAAATCTACTTGTTATTCTAGCTTTGATCTAGTGTTCAGTAATTGGTTATTAATGTATCTGAATGATGATGAAGTAGAAAGTCTCTTACAAAAAAGTCTAAAATGGTTAACTCATGGTGGTGCTTTATTTTTTCGTGAATCATGTTTTCACTCATCAGGTGACATAAAACCGGAAGAAAATCCTACCCATTATCGTTCACCACGTCATTATATCGGTAAATAGTCCATAATCTAAAGGATGATCCAAAAGTTTAGGTGCATTAGAAAAAAGTTAAATTTCTTTCTTACTGTCAGTGCCATATCAGTTAATGTATCTTTCTTACAGAAACAGCTACAACCATGAAATTCTATAATAATAATGTTATAGTTATAAATACTTGTTTTCTATAGTTTGAACGTTTTTTCACTGATAGTAAGAACGAAACTTAACTTTTTTCTAATGTACCTAAACTTTTGGATTACGCTTTATATGTCTAACCTATCCTTGGTCATAGAGTACAATGCTATATATAGATGTGGCTCAATCAAGAGTGTTACAAGAAGATAAAAACCAGGAGCCAGAAGTTTATGAATTAGTGTTTGCTAAAGCACTTGAATCTTATTATGAAATCAAAAATAATAATAACCAAGTATGTAAAAGACAGTTTGTGATCTGATTCCATGATAATTTTTATAGTATAGGTTTGTTTCTTATTCATGAAAACAAAATTACAAGATCATCATGGTTATAAAACGTTAAATGATTTTTTGGATAATAGTGAATATGCGGAAAAAAATATAAAAAAATATGAATCTGTACGCGGTTAGTATGACATTTTCTAGTTCAGAAGCTGTTTGTCAACATAGTTTTGAATTTGCCTGTTTGTTTTAGGCGAAGGTTTTGTGACAATTGGTGGTATTGAATTAACAAGAGAGCTTATACAACGATTGAATTTGACGTCAAAACATCGTTTATTAAATTTCGGAAGTGCTACAGGAGGAAGTACGTTCGTTATGGCAAAGGTAAAACATGGTGTTCTACTAAGCATATCTATTAACTATGATTCTAATTTTTCCGTTATCACAGGAATATAATTGTGAAATTGTCGGTGTTGATATCTCAGCGAATATGATAGGAATTTCTTGGGATCGAGCATTACAACAACAAAAGGGTTATAAAATACGATTTGAAATTGGAGAGGGTACAAAAATGAGATTTCCCCCATCGAAATTCGATGCAATTTATAGGTGCGTTCTATCATTAACATATATTTCATTTAACAGTATTATATAATATTCTTCTTGTTTGTTTTTAGTCGTGATGTCATATTTCATGTTGCTGATAAACGTACACTATTAAATAATTTTTATATGTGGCTGAAAGAAGGAGGCAAATTGTTAATAACAGATTTTTGTTGTGGTGATACAGGTAAAAGCGATGAGTAAAATCTATGAATTTTACCCGTGGATCATATGATGCTATGATTTATACTTTAGCTTGGTCGCAAGAACTCATCGATTACGTTCGCTTAGGAGAGTATCAGCTGACAAAAATGCAAGATTATGCAAAAGTAGATGCAATTATTTTCTTATTCTTTATACCATGATGCTAAAGTATATGATTTTTGTTTTTTAGCTACTTGAAGAATGTGGATTTACACAAGTAAAAGCTGAAGATAGTTCGGATCTTTATCAACAATATTGCAAAAAAGAAATGAAAACTGCTGAAGAAAATCGTTCGAAACTACACATGGTATAACTAAATTGAAAAATAAATTGTAAGAGATGTGTATTTTCTCTTCTTGTTTTTCTTCAGAATATAACTCGTCCCGAATTGGATGAATGTGCACGTCAATGGAAACTAAAATTTTCATTGACAAATTCTGGACAGCGACGATGGTGTATATTTGAAGCTACGAAAAGCTCATCATCATGTGTAGAAACAAGTGATGATCAATGAGCTACAATGATCACTGGAAAAATTGGAGTCTCATTTATTTAGTTTTTATTTTTTTTTTGTATGCTTTATCATGAGAAATCAGAAGGAAAGAGAAACTGTTATTTAAATTCAATTTGTTATTGCAATCACTATTTCTAGTTATACTTTTTTTCGACCATAAATTATGCTTTTGAAAAAAGTGAGAATAAAATGGAATGCAAACGAAGTATATTAGCAATAAAATTACAACCTTATCTGCAGGACCGCAACTAGAAGCCGAACATGTAGGAGGATGTAAAACAAATTTTCTCCCTGACGGAGTGTCAAATTAATAAAAACAAAATTGTGAGAGAAATAATTGATAAAATAACAACAGCTTTTTCAATTACTCGGGAAGGAGGCGCACTCTTCTACACCCTCCCGTTATTTGCGGCCCTGTTTATCTGTGAATATACGACCAAGACTAATTTTTTCACAAAATTTATCTAAGGTTTTCGGATAGTAATAACAATGGGTCAAGCGACAATAATAATACTATAGAAATACTGAGATGCAGCAACGCCAGTCTGTAGTTGGATGTATATCATGTTGCTGGTACTTGATATGATGATTTTTAATCAAAATTATTACGACCTTGCAGCGCCATCTATCACAATCTGTAAAGACTTAATTTCAAAATTTTTCATATTTTAAACTATTTTTCTCATAGGTATAAAGAAAATATCCTAATACTCTTTCAATAAAGTGTAGATCTGACTTAATTTAGCATGAGCCAATAAAAATAGTATTTATATATAGTATATATTTCTCTTTTCTTTTTTTTCTCTATCGCCTTCTTTTCTTTTCAGTTCATCAGCTGATTATACTCAAGCGCTGCTTTGTTTGTCTCTATAAAAATATACGAGTCATATGCGACACTGTGAATACACATTACTAAATTATATGCAACATTTCGTATCAACTAGTTTTAAATAGAACTTGTATCATCTACTTTTTTCTCTAGACAAAAATCTAACAGTAATGATTAAAATACCACATGTTAGCATCTATTTTGAAATGATAGGAAAAAACATCGGCATTCATGAAAGCTATTGGTAAAGTGTCTATTTAAAAAAAACATACGAAGAGAAAGGCATTCTCTTCATTATTTCATTGTTTACTATAGAAAAATGTTCAAATGTCGAATGTAACTGGAATAGAATTACGAAAAGTTCGACCTGAAGCAGTAAAGTATGTTCGTTTTCTTATGATGAACATATCGCTGAAACAGATTTTGAAAAACCTTTTTTCTATTTATTTAGCGACAGAAGTGTACTCGAATCAGTTGTCGACTTCCTTCAAGATGTTGTGGAAAAAGTGCCTCAGGTATGTATTTTTTTTGCTTGAAAAATTGACCTTCTCACATTTAAAACCGATGCTAATATACTCCGCACTCATTTCTTTATATTGACTGCAAGACATAAACGTGGATCGCAGAATACTAAGCCTTGTTTCTCTTTGTTCAGAATTACTTTATTGAAAGTAAAACGAAAATGTTTAGTTCGATTTCGTTTGTAGTTTTATTGGAGAAGAAAAGTGAACAAAGAACAATTTCGCTCATTTCTTTAATTTACTTTTCTAGGCATACACAACAAGTCGTGTACCTAATACTGAACAATTAGAACCAATTGAATGGCTACGTTTTATGCAAAATGCACAAGAATGGCATCCAAATTTACGTTATGATACCCTCGTATTAATAATTGGCTTCAAAACTGGTGTCCAATTATGGACAATTGATACAAACGGTATCGCATTAGAATTATTTTCGATAAAAGAACATAATATATCGTCAAGTTGTCTATTATTCACGCCACATAACCGTTTGTATGGAGATGATCCGTACATCAATCAACGACCGTTAATCGTTTTTACAAAATCGATTGGATCACCATCGATCCAGATTCGTTCATTGAAATATGATCATCAACATCAGCATGTTAAAACTATTTTATTGCAGACAGACTCAACAGGAATTGATTCAAATAAGTATGCACTTGTATGTTCGACCCAAGCATCGATTATTGGCTATGATCTTGTCAAATTTGAAGAAAAATTTCTTATATCAACATGTTATGCAAATAATTTGTATCATAATTTGAAATTAAATAATCCATTTGCTTTATCCACAAGATGGTTAGCATTTGTTGACTATCGCCTCAATTTAGGACATCAATCACAAGGTGGTATTAATACAAACGAACCATATTCATCTTATACTGGTGTTGTACTAAATGCCGCCAAATCATTATCAAAAAGCGTTGTTAAAATTGGTGAAAGTGTTTTAAATACAATGTCATCACAATCTTCAACGATGGCTTCACAATCTAATTTGACAGATTCGAAACCATCCACATCTGTCTCATTACAACAACAAAAACATCATCATACATCAACAAATAGTAGTAATTCAACAACAACAAGGCATAGAAATGGTTCAGGAAAAGATGATTCACAAGCGGGAATCGTTACCATCGTCGATACATTAAAATTATTTGGGGTTTGTTAAAGACCTATTCTGAGATTGATATTACTCTGTTATTTCTCGTTTGCATATGATCTTTACACTATTATTTTCTGTTTTAGTCGTCAATTCATGATGATAAACAAAATTGGATAGTTGCTCATTTCCAAGCTCATAGTGAACCGGTTAGTTATTTACATTTTAATCCAAGTGGTCATTTACTTGTCACTTGTGATGATTGTGGCCATTACTTCAATGTATTAGAAATACAAACATCGCCGTATCGTTGTACACGAACATACGTCAAACATTTATATACACTTTTTCGCGGTGATACCGATTGTAAAATTGCTCATATGACATTTACATACGATTCAAGATGGTTAGCAGTATCAACAAAACGTGGTACAACACATTTATTTGCAATGAATCCTTATGGTGGTATGTGTTAAGGTAAAAAGTAGTAATTATATTTTAGAATATATTTTATTTGTTTTAGGCTCTGTAAATATTCGCACACACAGCAAAGCCTATGTTGTTAATAAAGCCAGTCGTTATCATCGAACAGCTGGTTTAGACGATCATTCACATGTATTCGAAACACGTCGATCGTACGCAACAAATAATGAACAAACTAAAACGGAGATTAATAGTAATAATTCATCGGCAATAAATAAAAATAACTCAACCAATTATAATAAAAATTCAAAACAACGTACAAATGACTCGTTATTATTGCCTGCTGTCACGTTAATACGGCAACCAACGGATGGTCTCACTGGTAGTTTAAGTGCACCGTTTAATGTTGATTGTTTATGTCTAGCAGCTATATTTGGAGTTACACGTGCATTTATTAATCCAGAAGATAGCATCACACATCAGGAACAACGACCGTGTTATTCATTCTTTGTTATTAGCTGGCATGGAAGATTAATTGAATATGTACTAGAACCAGGACCAGGTAAAGCATCTAACTAATAACTAATTATATTGTTAATGAATGCTTTACTTTTTTTCTAGATACAACAAAAAATACACGTGTTACATCTGAAACACCACTAATTTTAACAGCTTATCCGAAAGCGCAATGGCCTTTGCAGAAGTAAGGTTAACGCACCATTTTTACTTCTATCTGTATGAACTGTGTGATTTTTTCTTTCTTTTACTTAGATGTACAACATGGCCAGAAGTACGTATGGAACTTGGCTACGCAGCACTATCTCAAGGCAATACATTTACTCGTCCATCATCGGCTACAAAAATTAATTTTAAAGATGACTGGCTAAGACAAGTAAAATGATAGTTAGAAAATGACAAACATTCATACTAATATTCTTCTTGTCTAGGTGGAAATGAATACCCATGTGGGACCGGCTCGACGCTTATGGATGGGTAAGATTTAAGCTGGAAAAGAAGAAAAAATAACTTTTTATCAGCTTTGTATCTCTAAGGTCCACAATTTCAATTTAAAACCTATTCTGAGGCAACAGTGAGTGTTTGCCATCCAAATTCAAGTGTCTTCACTGCTGATCTACCACAAAACTCAATGAATCTTGTTGAAGCTGATTTAAAATCGTTACCGTAAGTCCTTATATTAGAGTGAAAAGAGAGTTTATGTTTATGATCTATGGAATTTTTAGCATGCAATGGTCAAAATCAACTCCTGTACAAATGCCAAACATGCAGAAAGATATATCTCCTGCTTACATTGAAGTGGGCTCGGGTAGTTTTCAAGTAAGTTTTTCTACTGTTTTTCTTTGTTATAATATGTTTATCTTGATGCTGCTTTTTTTTTATTCAGGATGCACCATCATTAAGTATTTATGGTAGTTCGTTTGATAGTTTAAAATCTGATTTTGAAGTTGAACTTGTAGAAAAATTATTTGAGGCGGCAAATGATTCCACTCTAAAAAATGGTTTGTTATTTTTTTTTGCTTCAAGAAAATATTTTGACATGTTTTATCTTGTTTTATTTCTTTAGGTAGTAATGGTGACAATGATTCATTATGTTCATCAACGTGTAGTAGTACAATTCGTGGTCAAAATTCAATGACAGATATGATTCCATCATTTCCGGACGCTGATGCACCCGATTAACAAGGCAGTGTTGTGTTTTTTTTGCAAAGTTCAATTCTCAGGCATTTTTGTTATGTTTGTTTACTTTTCTGTTTGGTTTTGCACAGTATTCATAGTTGATGAGCGGTTCCGTTTAATTTGCATAATTATTAATCAGAAGTAACTAAAAGACTCATAATCATTGCTGTAGGGTTATATTGCATGCCGAACATACGAGTTTTCTATATTTATTTGTGTTTCTATTTTGATACAACAAACATAAACGTTGTGTCTAGCTAGACAATAAAAAAGTTTTTTTCATACTTTTTAATTCTGCAATATTGCGTTTAAACCCGGCTTCTCGTAAATGTCGAATGACTGATAGCTATTTCTGGTCGGATGATCTAGTCGACGATCGTCGCATGAAAATTTTTTACAGAACAGTTTCAAATTATTTAAATTACCCTGCATAGGTATTCAACGATTTTTTTGTTCTCTCTGAGTTGTTGTTTTTTTTTAACTAAATCTAGTCGATCTTCTATTTTACAGAAAAAGTATTTTTTCATATATGAAATTCTTCTTTCACATTATGGTATTGTATACATATTATTGATACTCAGAATTTTACGGTAAATTTTCTGCTGACGATATTTGTTTGCTACAATATTACGGCCACTCTTGTTTTGTAATTACGACATATTTTTTTCGTTTTTATTTCATTTTGCACACGCGTTTTTGACAAACCTGTTGGCGTTTTATGTATATAGTGATTTTTGGGTAAGAGGTTATTTTTATTGTATATATAATGTACATCTGTGCTGGCCTTTTGTTTTGTACACATGGACAGACTGTTTCTGATGTATACTTAATAAAGTAGAAACTCAACAAATAGAAATTTTACATATCATAATAAAAGTAAGAAGAAATTTCTGGACGTTTGACTTGAACAACGGTTGGTGTAATTGGATAGGCATAGGGATAATCGAGAGGATTTGCTGAGAAGGGAGAATATACATTATATAATAGTCTTAAATCACTGACATCACTTGTCGGTCCATCAAAGCCAGAAAATTCTTTCCGATTACTTTCTGCTTCTTTAGTCATTTTTTTTTGAAATTTTTCTAGTAAATATCTATTATACTCTTTACGAGCTGTTTTTGCATTTGTCATAGATGATTGATAAATGAATGTCAATAACATTGCCATGAACTAGAAACAGTGAGCAATAAAGTATGTCAAAAAATTTCAGATAAGTGACGACGGGCTATCATAGAGGGATGCTCAATCGAGTACAGAATTTTCTCTCGATCTAATTACAGGTAAGCTTTTAATGAACTGTGTGAAAAAGTTGAAACGTTATTGAGATATTGAGTTTTTATGAAAAATCTAAAGGTTGCTGATTTTAAACTCAGCAATACTTGACTTAGACTTGAACATTTTATCATTACTACTATACACTGCGTAGTATAAAATATTGTTTTGGGAGATCTAAACCCAAATGCTTGACCAGCTGTGGAGATCTGCTCTACTGAACTGAACAATACTTGAGTCTTTCAATTATATTTGCAGATAGAGTATGTATGAAAGTATCTCTAAAACAAGTTTGAAGGTCTCAGACTGTATCGCTCGTGTGAACTCTAACTCTAAACTTGTCATTTTTGTCAAAAAGACGCCATTTTGTTAGACGATTTTCTGTCAGAAAATGGGGATGTTGTAAATTACTTACATTACAATGCCCCTTGTTTCTCGAAATCAAATACTTAAATACAACATTGAAATTTTATTCCTTTTTTTAAATTCAATTTGACGTTTCGAACTTGATAAGATCTTCCGGAAAAATAGCTCTGATGTTCATGTGAACTAATGTCAAACTGTTCTAATCAGTGAATATAATAAACTTAAAACAATGTTTGTCTCGACATCATGAACTAATGCATATAATCTGCTCAAATCTAATGATAGCATGTAGAAGAATATTTTCTATATATCTTACTTGAACGAATAAAGTGGCGCTCATGGCAATGTAAAGAACAAATACATAAGCACGATCATTTATTTGTTTTCGAATGACATTCAAACAACTCTACAAGGAAATAGCTTACGAATAATAATATTTCTAATATTTGTTATTACATACTATTGTCTGGTAATTATCCGGACTGGCATTTCTTTGACATGTCGCTGGTCGTCCAGCTAATTAGAAAAACAACTTTAACCTTGAAAAATTAGAAATGAACACTTTCTATAGCAAACATACATATGAGTACGCCTTTTTTACAACATGATTGAGGCATCTCTTCGTTTGGTAATCTTCCACCACTAATAGCCCATATTGTATTGTCAAAATCACTCGAATTACCAAAATCACAACATTGATACTAAAGAAAAAAGATTTGAAAACGTGATGATAACTTTTTGAATATATTATAATTTATTCTATTCAATTTAACTCTTTGATGTAAATCATTCCAAGCGATTGTATCGGGTGAAAATCCTTTATCACCTTGATATAATCGAAATGAATCTTGAAGTGCCAATTCGGCAGTGGCAATAGTCTAAAAACTGGGATAAGCAAAATAAAATGTTATGAAAAACCAATTCTAGTTTGTTTAAAAATACCTTAGATAGTTTTAATATAAACGCTGCTAAACACACAATTTCAATAATAAATAATACAAAAATAAGATAAGCACCCTATAAAAATGATCCGATAATTATTAAATTTTTAGAGTTAAAATAGAATTTCATTTACCATACTCATGACTGATACAGATCGATATGCAGTTCCTAACAAGCCTAAGACGGCAGATAACATTTTTCCAATTCCAATAGAAAAGAAAAATATAGCAATCTAAAATAAAACTGTTTGTATAGTGATGAATTGGCAAAAAATAATTTCATACATATTGTAAATGAAATTCCATTCGATTTAGAACTTGATTCATACGATAAATTGTGATTAATGGATGAAATCGGTCTGGTACAGCAACTAATATAATGCCTACGATTAACATGATAAATCCAATTAACTAGAAGAAAAAAAATAAAAATATGACCTAAAAACAGACTATTTAGTTAAGATTTCTGTTTGTCTTGTATATACCCATGCCAAAAACCAAAAACATTTTGCAAAACGATATGAACAAAGACCAAACCTGGATAAAAACTAAAGTATGAAAAACAAATAATTATAAATAGAGAACAAAGAGAAAAAAACAAGACGAGACACATGCATACCAAATGATCGTCATATTGTAATACAGGGCCAGCATTTTTACTATGCGATATTTTTTCCGCATGATTCAATTGACTCAAAATTTCACCGAAAAATTGTCCATTTTGTTTGATTAAGACAGCAAATGGTGCCAAAAGAGGACCCCACAACTCGCGAATACATTCAGGACAATGAGGATCGAAAAAACAGCCCTTATTAGAATTAAATATACCTAAAATAAAATCAAAAATTTTCTTATTCGACTACAAGAGACAAGAAGAAGAGTAGTGCATAGTTACCTGGATAAATACCAGCATTTTTTTCAAAATATTTTTGATTTTTATTTGTTTCAAGCGCATAGGGTGAATGTCCCGATAAATATTGTGGTAAATTTCGTTCAGGAAATTTTGTTGATATACCAGTAACTACCCAATTTTTCGGCCCTACTTCCATTTTTATTCTAACAACGTATGTAAATTTGAGAATTTATTTTGATCGTTGCTTAGGAAATGTTGTTGTCGATTCTTTCTAATCTGACACTTAACGTGTCTTTTTATGATTGAAAGATGTCTATGTCTTTGCTTCTTCTACCATGATATGAAGAAACTTTTATTTAATTCAACAAACAATAAACTCATATAAGACTACAGAAGGTCCACCAGTTCTCAATCGACTTTTGAGACAGCTTTAATTCGTTACAACTGAAATTTCTTTAGTCAAAAAAGAAATAATCATATTTTCACAAGAAAGATGACAATAATCCAGAAGAAAAATACCTTTGTCGAAAAAGACTGTTATTAACCAAGTGTTTTCAAACATATATACTAAGCGCTAATGTATAGAATGTCTCAAAACTCCGATCCAAAATAAAATGTGAATAGTTCTTTACCAGTTTAATCAATTTTCTTGATTTTACTTTTATTTGATAATATGTTCCTTAGAATTTTATTTCATATAAATTGATTTAAGAATGACCATCGTCAACTAAAATACATAAATCCATTCTTTCCAAAATATCAGAAAAAGTATTATATACAGTTCTTTTTTGAAATTATTTCAATTTCATTCGATTCTTATTTTCATTTCATCAAGATCTTTAACAGCAAGTGTGTAGATATTCTCTTTCAGAAAGAGAAAAACAATTTTTATCGTTATATATATAGCTACTGGCAATTTATTTGAAAGAAACAGAAAATCTTTTAATAAACATTTTAAAAAGAATGGATTTCAGTTGACGATGATCATTTTAAACAATTATTGTAAATCCATTTATATGAAATAAAATTCTAAGGAACAAGTTATGAAATAAAAGAAAAATCAAGAAAATCGATTGAGCTGTTAAAGAACTATGAACATTTTATTTTCGATTGGATTTTTGGGACACTTTCATCCGACAAAAAATGAACAAGGTCAGAAACGACTTTCATAAAGCTCTAGTTAAATTTATGTCGTCTATAATCATGCAGATCCCGAGATTATCGATAAATCAGATAGGAAGTGTTTAAGATAGGAAGATCTTAATCTGAGGTATTCAAATTTGTTAACTGATTCTTGAAGCGCTCACTATTCAAGCTATATATTTCACTGAATGAATGATGGTAGAGGAGAAACATTTGACTTCAAAAATCGCTAGAATGACGTCAGATACCCTCTTTAATTCAAAAACTTCTCATTAGAATAATGTAGAATAATTTAGTACTAAAGTGAGATTTATGGCGCATAATATTCACAACTATAGCATAATACCAGTGAATTCGAAAATGGTACTCTGTGAGTTTTTTATAAATCAATGAAGTCAATGAAAACATTGATTAATGTACAAAAAGCTATTAAAAACTTGTACGAATATTGACTACCAACACCAGACCACCGTAACGAATATTATTAGAAATTCAAAATTTTCTGTTATCTCGTACATGTTGCATCATTAGCAGTCGTTTCACACAATCAAGAAATCGTTCGGTTTAAATACACATTAACGAATGAAAAACTTGCACCGGAATGTGTCCAAATATTTGTTAACGAAATAGCTTAAAATCAATATGAATTTTTTAGTGAAATATTGTATGTCATACGTAGATCAAAGAGGTTAGTTTAGTCTAATGTATACACTGTATACTCTATTTACCAGATTCTAAAAGATTTTCATCCAGCGTTAAATAATCTTGGACAAAATTCAAAAAAACTATAATCACCGAAAAATCTTATCTGAGCTTGAGGGTTTTGGATCTCATGGCATTAGTAAGAATTTCAAACGATTTCTAAGAATTTAAATGGATAGAAAAAATTTCGTAAAACTCTTAATGAGATACCTCTAAGATCTTCGCAAAATCATTGTAAATTCATTAGTAGGATGAGATATGCAAACTTCTCAGGTATCTTCAGATCGGGTGCAGCTCAGCAGCTGAGGCTGTCTCAGTTATCTTGTAGAAATATCAAAACAGAAACTAGAAAAACATAAATTGTTTTCCTCTGACAGAATTGTTTTCTTCTTATGAGTTGAAATGATGCCCATTTCTTGTCTTTCTATTATTCTTGTGTGCCTTAGTTTGAAATTTTATAACGAGATGACTATACTTGTTGGTTTATTCAACTATTCTTTTTCATTAAACTGTAGTTCAAGGTTTGTTTCATTGTTTAATTTCAGATTTAACTACAAATCCATATTTATTCTTGTTATTAGTCTTCATAACTCCGCTTAGAAAACATTAAGCTATTTCCGTAAAGTGGAATTCGTTTTGCTTTCGATGTGTAATTATTGTCAATTTCCGTTGTGGTGTTTCATCAAATCAGACTTGTTGATTTAGGTATTGACGGAACTCTATTGATGATACTAACTACTAAAAGTTGGAGTAACCACTAACTTTAGACAGAGAAGGTCTCAACCCAATACTGTAAAGAAACTGCTTATTTAAACAACAGTTGTGGTTTTGAACGAAAGATTTTTGTTGAAAACAATCTTGTGATTCTCTGTTCTTCAGTTGTTGAACTCATTCACCTAGTTGACAATATCACTGACTTCAGTTTTAGTAAAATATCTTAGAACAAATAAAAGAGTACAAATTCGGATCTTTTGAATATTTTTAATTTCTCTTTGACTGTTTAAATCAATAAATCTTTTTCTTGATAGGGGAAAGGTTTGTAAGCCGATGAGAGTCCTGTGCTCTCGATACTGACGTATTTACTTTTCACGTTATAAAACATTTATTGTTCCATTTTTATCCGTTTTGAATCTCAACTAGTCACTAATATCCATTAGACGTGTGAGAATTATTTTTTAGATGAAAAAAACTGGAAACAGACACAAATTAAAACGACAAGTTATGGAAGTGAAAGAAAAAGCGTCAAAAACACATGTAGCAAGTACTGCTTCACAACAGTAATTAAGACTACAGAGATAGACATGAAGAAAAGTAGTAGAAATGTTTCATGTATTTAAAAATAGATTGAAATATCTATTTCTATAAAATGGTTGTATGGAATCATCCTTTATTAACTAAAAATCTTTCTTCCTTAAACTTGAAGATGGCCAATGGCTGTTTTTTCTTCCTTTTTCTTTTTGTTATTATTGTATACGATTTTTACTTGTTCCACTTTTATGCAAAACATTTCAATTACTTGTTGAAACATTGATAAGAAAGGAAAACAAAAAGGCGCTTTTACTACACGCAGAATTTTGAAGAATTCTAAACGTCTGGTTGTTCAAGCTTGTAAACTTGTTAGATACATGAATAATTTTGTTTTGCAGATACTTATGTGTACACCATTAGAAAATATGACAGACTACCAATCTTCACCATGGATGTGAGTATTATAATACAACTCATAATATCTTCTATCAAGTCTATATACGCTTTTTTAGAGTAGCGGACGAGGATGATAATATCCCGAGAAGACCGGTATTAATTCATTTATACCTATGCTTATTTTTCGTTTAATCGAATAATTCATCTTTATTTCAGACACCAATGTTTACCAAGATTCTTCGAGAACCTCCTACGCCGATAAACAGTAAATAATGAAACTTATATTTATTTTTCATAAATTATTATATTACTATAGTTTTCTCATTAAGTTTTCAGATTTTATATTCATCTTTTGTTTGAAATAATCCTTTAACGATGTTCCCCTTTTTTAATCTAGTTGACAAAAGTGAAAGCAAACGTCCAATTGAAGCTAAATATTTACCAGAGATATAACGTCAAAAAAGAAAACCGGTCTGTTTTTGCAATACCTTAGAACGGTAAACTTTTTTCGTTTTTAATTTTTTCTTCTCAAGTTATAGGATTTTCAAAATTAAAGTGCTAGATTTCATCTAAGGCTACTGGAATTTTTTTATATCTCGGGAAGAAAAAATCAAAAACGGAAAAGGTTTGTCGTTCTGAGGTATTGTCCCAAATATCTGTGATAAAATTGAAGGTCCAATTGGAGCAAGCTTGAAAGAGAAAGGTCGTAACGTACTTCAGTTGGAACCATCCCTAGTAAAATCCCTATGAATTTCCTGACAGGATGTGAGACATATCTTACCAGTATCCTACTAGGATTTCGCTTTAATTTCTTAGGATCTTAACAAAATCCTACAGAATCCTAATGAAATCAGGTACACCAGGTAAGAGCATGTATGGATCCGGATTCTGCGGATAGCTGCGAAAAACCATTAGAAAATTTTGCGAGACGTATCATTGTAACTCGAACAGTTCACAATATCAAACCATATGTGAGAAAAAATCTTGAAAAAAAGACACTGTAAGGGGAAAAACCTTTTTGAAACTAGAAACTTGAATCTTTTTAGTCTTTAAAGCAGAAAGTTCAGAACTTTTTCAAAAAAAACGTCATGGATCATGGAGAGTGGTCTTATTTTGTAGTCCAGACTTTCTTCCTTATTAGGACATTTTCAACTAAACATCGAACGTTTTATTTAAAAAAAAAGACAAAACCCTCTTTACGAGACGCTTGTTCTAGTTAAACTAGCTTATATGCTCTTTCTTACAGTTCAAGTTCAACCGATTCGACCTTCTATATCAAAGAAGTCAATATCTCAGATTCCTCCAGTAATTAATGTTAATAAAAATAGTATGTAGAATTTTATTTAATATGATTTTGAGTTACATTCTGAGCAGAAAAACAATTTTATGCATAGATGCAGCATTTACGGAAGATATCCAGTTGTCATCAACCGAACCTTCGTCTTATTCTGAGAAAACCAAAATTCGTCATAAAACTCCGAACGATAACCAATTTCAACAGCCAGTAAATCCTGATGTTTCTAATAGAAAAGAAATTGTAAGTAGTGGCAGATGTCCTCGCTTCAAGAAATAGATTCTAAAAATGAGAGGAATACGGCAGAGACCAGAATATCTGATTTCAAAAATTAGTATACAATCTTCTATAACAAAAATGGAATATTTGGTAATATTCTTTATTAACATACTGTAACTATCTTTCTAGGAATTATCTATTATTTCCACTAATAATTTAGCCTTAAGTAGCTTGTTTGAAATGATTAAAGAAAATTTAAAACAATTTGTTTATTATCCCATTCCACAGACTATTGAATATATGAAATGTCGACTTACCAGGGATAAAAAGGGCATGCAAAAAGGACTTTTTCCAATATATTATTTACATGCTGAAAGAGAAGATGGAAAAAAGGTCTGGATTTTTAATCACACGTACCATTTTGTAATAAGATTTGTTTTTTTATCAATTGAACATTATAGTTTCTCATACTGGCTGCTGAAAAATGTCGCAATAAAATTGGTACATCAAATTATTTGATATCGACAGATATTATAGATTTATCACTTGACGGAGAATCTAGTGGAAAACTTCGGTAATTGTGTTGTAAACATTGTGTTCTTATTTAACTTTTTCTTCCTAATGATATACTTAAGAGGAAACAATCTGTTGGGAACAGAGTTTACAATTTTTGATAATGGTGTTAATCCAATACGTACAAGTACAGATCCAGAACATCATCGACGTGAAATGGCAGCTATCATCTATGTATATACAGATAAATCTATGCTTTCTTTCAAACACATGTATAGAAGCTAAATTATTTCGTAGGAAACGAATATTTTTGGTTTTAAAGGACCAAGAAAAATCACCGTCCTCATACCCGATATAGATAACGAACATCAACGTATCGAAGTTCAACCGAGAAATGTAAAGCGGAAAAATATCTCATTAAATTTTGTCAAATATGTTTATACCATTATTTCAGGAACAAGAAAGTTTAATTGAAAGATGGAAACGTAACGATATGAAAAATATTTTAGAATTACATAATAAAACTCCAATTTGGAATGAAGGTGAAGTTAAGCAAAACTTTTTCAAAAGCTTATTCATAACGTTTTAAATGTTTTTTTAGATTCAAAGTCTTATATTCTGAAATTTATTGACAATCGGGTTACCGAAGCATCGATTAAGAACTTTCAAATTATTCGGAATTGCGACGATAAGACTGGTAACAGTCCTCTTTTGTCGATGGTTTAGAGATATACCCCATTGCGAATAAACTACTTAATCACTGACAACTTTTTTCTGAGTACTATGAATTTATGTTTCTATTTAGAAGATATTGTCATGCAATTCGGACGCGTTTCTGACGATATGTTTACATGTGATTTCAGATATCCCCTCTGTGCAATGCAAGCGTTTGGAATTGCTCTAAGTTCATTCAATAGTCGATTAGGTCGCGAATAAAACAAAAAATATTATCAAAGACGTTATGATGATGAACTAAAGGAACGCACACCATATGTTGATCATTTAAACGAAACAATAGAGCAATTTTCATTTTCTAGAAAGCATTTTTATATCTTAATTTGGAAGTTTCTACATGAAGAAAGTTACTAGTTACTCATAATAACGCATTCACTCACTTTAATTTGTTTAAGGTTTTCATTTAAGTGTATATAATTGTTTTTATTCTTTGTTCGTGAACTACAGAGAAAAAAAGACGGGAAAATAGATGAGCCCGAAAAATGTCGACGTAGAGTCGTATAAAAACTATTTATAAAACTATAAGAAATGAACCCGGTTTCATTGTTCGCAAAATAAATGATAGAAATGATACTCTTTATTTTTTAGAAATAAGAAAAATGAGCTCGAAAGACTCGAACAACATGGAAGTCTATTAGATCTAATCAACATCACATTTCTACCCAGGAAACCTTTATATTTTACTGTTATCAAGGGTATCCTTCACCTTTTTAAGAGAAAAATGAAAAGAAGAAAACTTACTTTTTAATGATTGATTTGTATTTAGATGATTTTTCTCTCTTGTATTTTGTTCATGGAGACCTTTTAGGAATATATTTATACATTTTTTTCGCGCAGGGACCTCATACACCTACTAATGGACTTCAAAATATAGTGAGCGCAGATGTTTTTTGAATAACTTTTGAACGGTGAGAGATAGCGACTCGCGGCTTTCTCCATTCGATATAGGAGATCGGAGGTCGTTTTTTATATCGGAAAAAGTTTACAAATCCTTTTAGAAAGCAGGTTTCTAGAAAACCTTTTCAAAAACTGATATACTTTCTATTGATTTTTAAAACTTTTATTAGATTCCGTAGTACAGCGCAGATAACATAAAGTATTTCTTGATATTCTGGAGTACGTTAGATCTCTTCGTTTTTTCTTATAGATAGAAGAATCATAGGTTATCGATCATTCTTTATACAACGGACAAGCGAAGAACTGTGTGCATATGCTGGTAGATTTTAGGGTGTTTATCACAAAAATTGAGGGCACTGGGTTAAATAAGAAACAGTATCAGACATTTTATGTGTCCTTAGGACTATTACCAGTTTGTAGAATGGATCCATATTCGCGCGTGAAACATGAATACTTTTATTTGAAAATTTTGTTTTCTGGTCATTTTCTTTTTCAGTAAGCATATATAAGAAATACTATTCGCGCTATAATAACTGAAAAATTATCAAATCCGTTATATGAACATAACGTTTGATTGAACAGCGTCGGTTTTGTCTAAACGGTACTATAAACGCTGCAAACTGAGCAGTACTCGTCGATACAGTACAGTATTGCAGAGCTAGCGCAGAGCTGGAACCGGGCAGGTAGAGACCGATATTTCACCGGTTGAAAGTTTTGAAACATCTGCTCTTTTTACCTTGTTTTTCGTCAAAAAAACTAAAATTTCACGTCTTTTTCAGTCAGAATAAATAAGACGATGTTCAAGACAGATACTATTTTCATCACCCGTTTTAAGGTTAAATATTACAAACTCGTTATTGTGAAGGTTCTCTCACATGTGTTCGCAAACTACTTCATTTGTGGAGGAAATTCTTTCTGAAAATCGATTTTCAAAAAACTTCACCAGGTTTTCGCCGGTTTGAGTTATAAATTCCAACCGGCCCGGTTTATCCTTTCTCAGCCGATTCCAGCTCTGAGCTAGTGCTATAAAATACAATAGATAAAAATAAAAAAAAACTGAAAATAATATCTTACGAACCCAAAACACTATTCAAGCTTCCATCAAGATTTTGTGCAAATATCGAAAATCTGGCACGATTCTGACTGTCTAATCACTGATTAATTAATTAATTTCTCAGAATTAGTTACAAATCTTGATCAAGTTTTTTCAACGTAAACTCTGTAACAAAAACTGTTGAAACCTTGAACTGCAAAGTGATCTCAAAATCCTGACAGAAAATTTGCGTAAGATCTGATGTAATTGAGCAGAAACTTGAGAAATCTTTGAAGTTTTAAACAAGATCTTGGTTCAAGCTTTTTGAACTAGGATAATCTGGATAATCGATGATGCTCTCTACCCAATGCGCCCTAAAAGGATATATTTTTTCCAGTCAGTCCTCTTATCTCTTAAAATGATTATTTATATTGATCAATAAGAATAAATAGAAGAATGAATGACGAACGAGAGTAAGTAGAGTTTTATAAAAAGTCGTTATAAAAATTCCGACCTATCTTGCCAAAGATGTTTCAAAATTTAGAGTCTATCTTATTGTTGTGTGAATAGAATAGAAGCAATTTGTTTACTTGTGTAATATACATTCGACTACTGTATACATTGCCCCAGTCAACAACCATATTATGTGATATAAAAGTATATAAAGATATGGGACGATTATTTGTTTGAAGGTTCCGAAAAACTTACAGTTATCTAATGGTAACAGAAAGTGGAATGATATTATCAAAATTAGATAATAAAAATAATTTTAATAGATGTTATACGTGCCTTAAAACACCAGGCCTAATATCATTTGAATTATTTTAAACAGCTACTCAACTCTTTTCAACTAAGTATTGCAATGGACACATCCTTCTCTTCATTCAAGAGAATTCTTTGGGAATTGACTTAATCTAGCAGATTTATATCCCAAAACACAGATTCATTAAAAGATCAGACGTCCTCACTCATTTTACAACTTTTCATCGAGACGAGTCGCATAAATTGAGATTTTTTATTAGGGCAAACTATGTACTTTGTACCATTTTTCTTCCGTTTTCATGACTAAGATTCTATTGAACTAGTTGATCTTGTGCAGCAAAATGACGTTTTGGGATCAGACTCATTCAGTTTTAAAGAGAGAGTCTCTTAAATGAAGGAAGCGTCCATAACACACAGCTGTACTCAATACTATATGATTGAAAGAAGACAAGATCTGAGTATATGTATTCTGCAGTGCCACCAAAAGTATTTGCATCTGTTTTCTCCCTATAAATGTCATGTGGAACATGTTCGATCGGAGATCGCTAGGTGTGCATTTCACGGTAAGAGTCGCGAAATAAGAGTAGGGATTTAGGATCAGGGTTTTCTCACAGTCACATAGAAACCGTATCTAACTTCCCGATCACTCTTGGCCGGACTTTTACCCTCGTGGCAAGAGTCTCGATAATCTTGGGCGTACTCTTACACTCGCTCGTGACTTTTGGTCTAGTTGCTATTCTTAAACGATTGCGGAAAAAACAGCTTTTGATGAGTGAAAATGAGTAAAATCTCTAATGTTTCTTTCGTTCTTTTATATAAGTTCGGTAATTTATCCGAAATCGTGTCGCTACACCGTACGTCATTCGCGACAAGCGCGAATCTATAGCGATCAGCGGAAGCACGCCCCGAATGAAGCACGACAATTGACTTGAATTGGTCTTAGAATTGGAGCTGGAAATAGAACCGAAGACTAAAAAACTGGTTAAAACACTATTTAGTAGAAAGGAAGTCCAGAATAAAACTATTTTTTGAAACACTGATATACAAACGTTCCGTTAATGGCGCAAAACAGTGGAAACGGACCGTTTTACGGTTTTGACGGCCTAAAAATGGTCCGTTAATGAGACGCTCATGATCCGTTGACCGGCCGTTAACGACCTATTAACGACACCGTTTCCTGCGCTGTAACAATATTTGTAGTTCTGTTCACTGTCCCGATCTGGCAGCAGGAGGAACGAACTTTTATTTACTCAAAGCTTTTTTTCTCACTTACAACTCTTTTGTCTAAGCTGACTTGAATGAAAGAATATAATTTTCAGTGTGATAATCGGAATGACCACCAGATATCTCAATCTAACAGTATTCATATTCTCCACATCTGGCGTCGACGATGTAAAATTTTCAAACAGTCGATTAGTGGCGTGGCTAAAATCTCTACCTGGTTTACTTCTTATTCGGACGACTATACTTACCGAGATATTACACTTTACAAGACACTTTTTCAAATACACTGGTCTTATTGATATTAAAGTAGGTATACGTCATTTATCGCAGCAATGAGTAGACCTTATTTTATGATATTTATTATAGAGATCGAATTTAGCGATGAGGAGTATCACTTTATTCTACGATCGTATCTGAGCGGTTCTAGCGTTATATTGTACCAGTACTAGACCGTTATTCACCAAATGGTAGAAGAAACCTACTCCGTTTCGAGCCTCAGAATAAATGAATGAATGGTTTCTTAATGTCTATCCCATTATCACCGATATAGCTTCACAAGATGGTGCTAATAGATGTTACTCGACAACAAATGTATATTGGCTCTTATAGTCAGTCCACATTATATGGAGTACTTCCTCATTTGAGTTGTCATTTATCTACTTATTTCGTTGATTTATTTAAGAAGTCAGACTCATTTAAATTTCTGTAAGTTCTGTACGGGATAACTAATCTGATTTGTATTAGTAGAAGCATATTCTGTTGAAGTAATCGTGGTAAGCGCTATTTTAGTTGTTGCATGAACTGTCGTGAAGTTTACACAATAATAGAAGTAACATACGTTACAGTAGTTTACTTCTTTTAACCTTCGCTAGAAGCTAGAATGGATCTATTCGATTTTTACTTTTTTGTATAGTATACTATACATTGAAATTTCGCAATTTTTTAACGCATGACTGCTGGTCACTCAACAGCTTTGGTGCTTTTTTGCTATTCTGAAAAGTTACTTTGCTTACCTAGACGTTCGACACCAATTTCGTCAATGATGAGTTCTGATATGAGTTCTGCATGTGGTTTTAAATCATGGGATCTGACACCGTATGAACAACAACGTAAACCACATGAATTATTACGTGATGGAGAACTATGTATTAGTCCAAAATTATTACAAAGTGAATTAACCTGTCCGATATGTTTAGATTTATTGCGCAATACTCGAACGACCAAGGAATGTTTGCATCGTTTTTGTTGCGATTGTATTGAAACAGCACTGAGAAGTGGCAACAAAGAATGTCCAACATGTCGAAAAAAATTAATATCCAAACGTTGTTTACGACGTGATCCGAACTTTAATGCTTTAATCAATAAATTATTTCCATCGCAGAATGATCTAGATGAATTTCATGAAAAAGTTTTAGCAACAAAATCAAAACTTAAAAGTTTATCATCAAAAATAGCTTCGTCTTCAGTAGATGATGTAACAAATGAGGACAGTAAGATGAAACGACGCTCACAACTCACAATGACAAATGTTTCAACATCAAAAGGCCAGGATAGCGACAACGATGTGATGAACAAGAAAACAAAATCTCGACGATGTACATCAATTGATGATGAACAAAACAACAAAAAGAAATCAAGTGATATCGAAATCTTTCTGAAACCTCATCCTGTCGAACATATTCATCAAACACAAAATCAACGTACGATTATCACATCGACAGATGCCACAATGAATCATTTATCCAAATATTTGAATCTTCGTATTAAAATTGAAAAAGATTGTTTACCAACATCGACGCATATTAACGCACGTGTACATAATAGAAATGAAGATGATTTTATTTTTTATGTTCAGCAAAAAATAACAGTAACGACATTATCGTCCAATTCATTTGTTCAAATTAAAAACTCAACGACACTTGATAAAATGATTGATACATCTTGGAAGCATATCGACAAGCCATGGAATATTTACTATAAAACAGTAGACAAATAGAAGAAAAAAATCATACTGAACGTTTTTTGAATTTTAATTTGTATCAATCGGTTGAATTTTTATGCTGAAAATATTTTTGTTGAAATCTTTTTACAAGATATAGTTGTGATTTGTTTTTTATGTAAATTTTTGTATAGTCTATTTGTTTTGTAACCTGTGTACAATGTGATAAAATTAACTTGTCAATAATCAAATGGCAGTAACTCCACTTCGCATATCTACATCTTTGTTTATCGCTTTAGTGCAACGTTATTTTGGTTTCTTATTTATTTATCTGTCTTATTTTTAGATTACGTTATATCTATGGTGCTCGCTGATCTTTGCCGAAAAATTCAGAACGCACAATTCTTCATAATTTAAACAGTTTGACAATTATTAATGAACATTTTGTTCTTTATTGTGTTTTTAGTTATACAGGTATCACTAAGACTTCTGTTTAACAGATGTTATAAGTTACTAAACGTTTACTTTCTTTATGATGTCCTTGCTTATGCAAAATAAATTTGAACTTGAACTTGAACAAGCGTTTAGTGAAGCATTAAATGAGATATGTCGAGCATTATTAGAAGGTGATGTCAATTTACAAAGAATTACGTGAGAAGGTCAAGGACGTCAGGTATAATATGACGACATCGAATATACGATTTTGATTAGTGCTGATATGTTTTGTGCCAGTAGTTTTGATCAATTATATACTTGAAGTGGCCGAAATTTCTAGAACTTTCTATCAAATTTGATTGTTTCTGTAGTTGTTGCCACTGACTCAAAATAAAATGACTTTTTCACATTGAATACATTTTTGCTATTCTAATCTGGCTTTAAGAAAATGCATTATTAAAAAAAGAATTTGACTATTCAGTTTTATTTGGTCAATTTAGGTAGTGGTGATGTACAGGGAATTATAGAAAATTTCAAAAACAATAAGGAGCTAAGAGAAATACAACATGGTAAATACTTTTATTTTTCTTCGATAAAGGAAGTATTTCGTTCTATTGTTCGCTCACAGATCCGTCTACATTACGGAATATGTATGAGCAGTTTCAAAATATTATAAAAATAGGACTATTGGGTCAAATAATGATATGTTTCGCATTCAAAATTTGATTTATATATTTTATGATCGTTCATGTTTTTTCAAGGATACGATACCTGGCTTTGATACGAAATTTATATTGAAAAGTGATGAATGAGAATCACAAGCAAGATTAAAAAAGATGATGTGTATTATGTAGTATGAATGACAATGATATAAATTTGTAATTTGGAAAGTTTCTTGTTCAAGTAGATAGTTTTGCTTAGAACTGGATCAGTTGGATGGCACAAAATTATTTCAGTCACAAAGTGGTCGTTACGCATATCGACAGGAGCTGGTGTTTCCATACGTGATGACCTAATTACCCTAAATGACCTAATTACACAATATTCTAAATTTGCTCAGATGCTGAAAAGAATTGTCGGTATCAAAGGATTATCTAAATGTACGTTCTTCAACAATGTTAAGGCCTTCTGTGATGTGCTATCAGACATGTGCGCCGACAAAAACTTTTCGGCGGTGGCGCATGAATTTTTGAACATCGGCGGCGGCGGCGGCGGTGTATGGCTCTGAAAATTTTCTCCGTCTTCGGCGGCGAATCTCGAAAAGACAAGTGGCAGAATGTAAGATATCGTGCCTATAAAAATTACACAACCAGTCATGAGCGTCGAAGTTTGAGTAAAACTGTATTCTCATATCGTTCAAATTCGCGAAAAATTTTAGGGCAAAGGGAAGTCGAAAAATATTTTTTCTCTCAATTGCCAAAATAACACTTTTTCTAACTCAGAACTGAATACTGATCACGAAAACCGCATTCACAGTTCATCAAAATATTTTTCATCTTTGAAAAACCAGCTCCGTTCTCAGAAAACTAACATACAATGTTAGTAATTTTTTTGCTTGCGTAGATAGTCCGGATGTTACTCTACAAAATTATGCAAGTCCCAGCTCTCCAGCTATCGTCGTTCAGCCAGGGCTCGCTTTCCCCGAGCACATGTCTATCTCCCAGTAGACGTCTCTGGGAATCTCAAAATGCCATGGAATATAGATAATTGACTACGCTGAGCATAGTCGCAACATTAGTTTTTGTGTAGAAATGAAAATAACTTCGCCAGAGCCATTTTTGTGAAAAACCGGCTTTTCGCCTGTTACTCGCAAAAATTAAAATCCTTATATCTCGCTCAAATCTCATGCTGACAAATCCAATGCCCAGCCGAAATTCATCTTTTTCGTCTTCGATTATGGTTTATGAGCTGTCTTGAGCGTTTTCTGAAAGGTTCCTTGAGTCAGCATGAGATTTGAGCGAGATATAAGGATTTTAATTTTTGCGAGTAACAGGCGAAAAGCCGGTTTTTCACAAAAATGGCTCTGGCGAAGTTATTTTCATTTCTACACAAAAACTAATGTTGCGACTATGCTCAGCGTAGTCAATTATCTATATTCCATGGCATTTTGAGATTCCCAGAGACGTCTACTGGGAGATAGACATGTGCTCGGGGAAAGCGAGCCCTGGCTGAACGGCGATAGCTGGAGAGCTAGGACTTGCATAATTTTGTAGAGTAACATCCGGACTATCTACGCAAGCAAAAAAATTACTAACATTGTATGTTAGTTTTCTGAGAACGGAGCTGGTTTTTCAAAGGTCCTCTGGAAAATCGGACTTTCAGAAAATTCTGAAACAAATTTCTGCTTATAAAAACATGTCTTAAGGTCTTGGCTATTCAACAGTGAAAATCGCAGGTTGCTATCTCATCTCTGTGAAAAATTATTAGCAAAACACTCATGACCACCGTGTTTTTTTGGCGCCGATAGTAGTCCGACAGTAGTAGGACTGGCATCCGGTGACTATTGGTAGCCTTGAAAACAGATGTACTATAGTTAAGATAGAATGCATATCTTCTCTTCAAAACCACTGGTTTTATTCTAAAAAAATACATAAAATATACAGAGTTCCCTTCTAAAGCCTTGAAAATCGGATCTTCACTTTGTTGTGGCAGATGAAGCCGCTAGACATTGATTTTCGACTTGAAAGACACATCATTAGAAAGAGCGCTGCTTAATCTATCTCCAGTGTAAATAGCTTATTGGCTTAAGGTTTCTAGGTGTACCTTTTACAGTCAACAAGTCGGAGACGGGAAATCCTTCAGGTTATTGGAGGTTTGAGGACCGAAGCGTTGCCCAATTAATTTGATTCTTACATATTTGGATAAAGCACAGTGAATTACATATAGACAACGCCATTTAGACCCTGATAGGCCCTTCTCGTGGCAGCTGAGAGTCAAAAAACCGGTTTTCGACCCATTTTTTGTTTCGGTCGCTATTTCACAGGGAAGTATTTTGATGAACTGTGAATGCGGTTTTCGTGATCAGTATTCAGTTCTGAGTTAGAAAAAGTGTTATTTTGGCAATTGAGAGAAAAAATATTTTTCGACTTCCCTTTGCCTTAAAATTTTTCGCGAATTTGAACGATCTGAGAATACAGTTTTACTCAGACTTCGACGCTGATTCCGAATATGTATGACTCATTGTGTAATTTTTATAGGCACGATATCTTACATTCTGCCACTTGTCCTTTGACAAAAACAATGTTCTCTTTCATTTCCGGCACGTTCTTCGTGGACTAACCGTACGAGTACGTTGTCGTATGCGAAAAAATAGAAAGGCGCTGCACGCTAGATGCCTAAGGTAAAAACGTACCAACAGAACGAGTAAGAAAAGCTCGGATAGTATGTCATTAGTTTTTCAAGGCTTTTGATTCCTTTTCTTCTTCTGATAAACAAAGGTAGTCATTCAGACTCTGTCTGATTTTGTAATCATTTTGAAAAACGATTTTTTTAAGCACAGCTAAACAGAAATGAATAAACACTTAACCCTTAACATCAGCAGTTAGATCATAAAGGATCATTTTGACATGATGACGTCAAAAAGATTTTTTTTTGGTACAATGTCAAAAAGAATATACCTGAACCATGTACATATTTCTTCTCTTTCGTTCTCTTGTCACATGAAAAGAAAATCGCGTTTTTACCCTAAGGAAAGACACTTCTCAAAGTTAAAAAACTCAAAGTATTTTTTTTCACTTCTCAAAGTATTTTTATCGAAATGTAGCTCGCGCTCTCTTCTATTGACCGAGGTGGTTTTCATATTTAATCAGTACTACTTATACAACGTAAAAAGTCTTTTTATCAATTGCATGCAAAATTTTTGGCAACCTGAAAATGTTTACTTTTCAGTCTCATGGGCCTACAAACAGCAACAATGAACATTTTAACTTTTTTTTTGTGCGAATGTACTAGAGAGTGTGGACAATATTTTGGTGCAAACCACTTGTCAAAAGTATTTTTTCTTATCGAGTTATGATTAAAAGAAAAACAAAGTGGGATGCACGGAAAATTTTTGCCCCTATAGGGGCAGTATACTGTATTTTCTACATATTGTCATTTTATGCAATTAGAACTACCATTATTTATTTGCTAGAGATCGTATATATCACCATATCCAGGGTTCCCGATTGATTTTTAGTCAGCGTGGGAAGATTTTTCTGGTAGACAGGTTTTTTTAAGTGAAACAATTATTAATGAAATATTTGTGTGTAGGTCAATATGTGGCGGACAATCAAAATATCAAAGATTATCTGCCAGTTAGTTTGACAGATAGGCTATTGGGCCTTGAGTGTCCTAAGCTAGGTGTTCATCATATCTATCGGTCTCTTACGGTCTGTTAGGTAAAATAATCGCACAAGGTAAATCGCCACATTGGCTGTACTCACAAAAAGGTGCGATAAATTTATAGTGTGTTTACTGGTGTTAATATTGGTACGGAAGTTTCCCGCTTCTCCATCCTGATCGGAAACCCTAGACACAGCACATTACATATTATCGTGTTGTATTACCTGCGATTAAGATCTCGGAAGAATATTCTCTACCGTTGTCAAGACAAATACCTTATTTCCAGTAGGACAGAGATC